GATGATGCATATTGTTACCGTCCTCTTTCGTTCCTTGTTGTAACGTAAACAGCAGTTTTGATTTGCCGGTGTGCTACATGACCCAACGCAACGAAGGTTTTACAACTTAAAGGTAAGCGGTAAGTGAAAAAGTGAAAAAAAAATGTTTACGCCTGGTCGCTCAGCTTCTGAAGGTACATAAAAATGGACGTACAGTTTAACGTAAGTGGTTAACGACTGAAGTCGGCTCACATAGTATGAGATGCACGTTTGTTTATGCGCAAGTTAACGGACGAGTTGCAGAGCAGGGCCTCGAATCACGTGTGCATTGGCTATACAGAATTAGAGATGTCTGTGGCATGGTTTGGTGGCTTGTTGTTGTCCACCACTCTTTAGAGAGAAGCACTGATCTCGGACAGCACTCAGCGTGTCTAGTGTGCTCCTTGGTGCCGTCTCGCGCTGGGAATATGGAAGCGAGAAAACAACTTGCCCAGCATATTGCTTCATTGATTTTGGGGTTGTGAGTCAAAAAGTCCACCGTGCTATTTCTCTATTTTTTGATCAAAACTTCTCGCTTTCTTTCTACAAATGGGAAACACTGCGTTCTATTAGTATTTACAGCTACAACATGCAGACCGAAATATCGCCCTTTTTATTTCGAATAATTGCAGCATTGTTCAGAAAGTGCTACGAATACCGCGTTTTACAGATATTTCATTTTTCAAAGAAGAAATACATTGGTTTTCTTATGTTCTTCGCAACCATGAAACACCATGACGTACCTGTGCGTCTATGAAACCCTGAACCTTGGTTTGTACCACGTTTTCTCACTGAATGTAAGCTGCAATCTCTCAAACACAATTTACCGAAAATTCTAAATACTTATGTTCACGGTGCTAAATTATCTTGTGAGGAATTGAAGACGTGCACTTCATTACCATGTAAGCATGTATACGGCAAATTCATGTATAATATATATATCAACTGATGATATTTTGTTTGAGTGCTTTGTTTTTTTTAATGCAAATATGCGCACCATCCAATGTTCACCGTTCGGTAATCTTGTATTTAAGTGTTATTCATTTTGTAACAAAATTTTTGTTCTCGCGCTGTCATCTGCAACACCTCCTGGGCCCAGTCAAGCTGCTGACAGCATCTTTTAGCCCTGGAGGACGTTTCTAGTTTCTACTAGAAGAAATAATAAAGTCGAAGTTGAAGTGTTCTGCTCACAGAAATAAGCAGCCCCGGAAGATGGGGACTCGACAATCGTCATAGTTCGCCATCACTCCGCATTTCACTTTTCTCGATCAATCAGTTCCTTTACTTCGCGCGAAAAAAAAAAAAACATTGAGAAAACATTTTACGAAGCTCGTTTTCCTTCACGCGGTAATATTTTATTGCCCTCGACGCACCCGTGGTCGTTTTGATATCTACACCCGGCCCCGAGAAAACGCGGTGCTCGCCAGCATGACTTCATGCCCTTGAGTATTCTTAGGACGGTTCGCTAAAAGAGGGCAGCTGCTTGGGGCGGCAGAAATGAAGAGGAGGGTTAGCAGAGGGTCGGAATCAAGGCGAAGGTGGAAGGCCGCATTCTTAGGCTTCGTCGTCCTAATGCTTTCTCTTTGCTCTGTTTCGCGCCAGAGGTTGACTCATCGGTTGCGCAAGGCTTTTGCCGACGCCGGACACGTGATCTATGTGTTCCTCCCGCGGTTTTGACAGAAGTCTTTGACTGATAAGGTCGGATTACGCAAGGACGCCTTATTAGCAGAGTACAGCTTACATTATTTTTATTGTTTTTTTTAAAGCAGACGCCCTAGATGTGCGCTGAAAACTGCGACGGCCAGCGTGGAACGAGGACTAGTACACGGTGGACCAGTGAAAGAAACGCGAGAACATCTGCCTCCTCCCATCGAGAGAGGGTAACGACAGCGGCCGCAGCATTTTCACGTTCGCGCGGCGCGCCCAGCCCGTCCTACCCGCGCTGGACGGAAAGCCAATACGTCCTGAAAGGCACACGTCGACGCGCGCCTCAGCTGCCCCCGGCGGCCTGCTCTGAATATGCGAGGGTGGCAGCGTCTGTTTTTGGCCCGGCGCTCCAGATACGCGTTTCCCGTTGGCGGGGCTGGCATGCGAGTCAGAACAGCAAGAGCTGGAGCCCGGGTCGCAGTCTATACTTGTGGCGGCGGCCGCCTGGAGAAGCGCCACGACACGCGGCGGTTGAGACGCTATGCTGCGTTGCATAACGGGCCGCTCGCTGCGCAACTGCCAAAGAGAAAACCGGAACGTTACTGTAGTACATCGCGTCACGTAGAACATGGGCGCCGATGGCGACTGTTACAGCACCGAGCGAACCAATGCAGAGTGAATTGTACCCTTCTCCCGTGGATGGCGTGGCGTTATATAAATACTTTGTCCGATAAATAAATGCTTTGTCATTCGACGATACAACACGACAGTCGGATACTAGCGTCACTATACACGCCTGAATATTATGAATTTACATATCACAAGATCAATGAATTTTTGTAAGCTCCAGGCTTCCTGAGACAACTCGTAAATGACATTATACATGCATTCGTTGCATCTTATAGTGAGCAAGTGTGCGAGCAGGCGAGATATTTACCACGGATGAATTGCATGCACAAAGTGCAAAAGATGATTTTTGATGAGATCGAAATTGAGTGGTTAGCCCGAGTGTTGTTGCTCTGCTCGGCGTCGGGGAAAGAGGGAAGGCCACAGACAGGATAGTAGGATGAGGCTGACAGGGTTCCGATAATTGTTGTTTTACTGTCTATTAATCCAACTGAACAGAACACACACACACACACACACACACACACACACACACACACACACACACCACACACACACACACACACCCTGAAGCAGAAGACTGCTAAAGTATCGCCAGGAAGTGGTTCATGGCATGTGTGATTTACACAACTTTTACGCAGAGCAGAAAGTGGTTTATGAATATACTTGATGGTATATTTCGAGAAAATTAAAACTTAAGTAACATAGTGTGTTGTTCAATGAAACACGAAAAAAATAAACCACGAAATATGTTTTACATATTGCAAAGTGCCATGGAAATCAATACCCAGAGTGCACCGCCAGCACTGTAGTCTAAAACACGACGCTGCACCTTCATTCATGAGCTTATAAACGGCAAATGAAGCTATTAATGAAACGCAGTAAAATTACCTATGACTGAGCTATGTAAAGCAGATTTTACCAAATTATACGTCAAAAGCATGTTACTTTCTCCGCATATATGAAAGTCTTGCTTCTGGCCTGCAGCAGTAACGTTTCAACACGCTCAAGTAACCCCATTAAAGGGAAAAATAACTTAAGCAGAATGACTTGCTGTAATTATAGCCGTATTCTCAGAAGGCATCTTTAGTACGCTTTCAAAAGCTGTCGGGTGACCCCCATATGCTATGCAAGCCATGTGCGCTGTTTTGCGTTTAGCACAAAAGTCTCCTTCAATTCGCGATGTCTGAAAGTTCGAAAAAGATCGTGTGGATCACCTGCTCGAAAACAAAGCGGTATAGGGTGCAAAGCTCGCAGCTCTACATCCGTAGCCTACACGCTGTGTCGAATGGGAAACCGTCTTACATTCAACCTATTTTACGAAACCAAGAAAACTTTTGAACATAAGATTCAAATGCTGTGTTATTCAATGCCGCATTAGGTAGAAACAGATCTATAATTCTCAGGCACACTAATATCTCATCTCCAAGTGGGATTACGAAAGAAAGGAGCTGATCGAAAATTGAGACGAAAAATTTTTGAACATGTGCAGCAGGAGCCGACGCTTCAAGAAGACAAGTCCGCATGTCGAAACGTCGGCTGCAGCACGAGCCCCCTGTTTGCAATTTTCTTCGTCCCTAAGTGGGAAACGATTTGCCTAATTGGCCCTGCAGTCTCGGGCTAGTGATTTCGTAAGATGTGAGCGGCTACGCTCGTGTGCCGCGAACTGGCGTGGGCATTGCCGGTCGGAATCTGATATGACCGGTGTTCAGGCCGAGACGTTTTGGGAACACCAGCGTCATTGTCGCGGGAGAAACCGAAAAGAAGAGGACCGCGAGCGAGCCATGGTGGGCAGTGACTCACGGCGGGCACTGCAACAGTACGAGTGACGACGGACACTTTCGTCAGTGTGAGTCACGCCTCGTTGGTCCTCTTCTGTCACCATAGTTTCCGGCCTTTCCCTTTTATTTTCTTCGGGAGCGTCCACTTCAAGCGTATGTCTCAGGCAGCATTCCAAAAACGGCGGGATGTGTGACGCTGCTAGCAATCGGTGTTACTATAAGTGAAGCTTGGGGCGTGATTTCGTCCAGAGGCGAGTCTTGAGTTGAGCTGCAAGCGGCGTCGCACTGCAGACAAGCGGACTCAACCAGGCGATGTCGACCTTCACTGATAGCGACGGGTAGGACCGTGAAATGCGTGGCACTGCTTCAGCGCTTGAGCACGATAAATGCGAAGGTTTCTTCGGCACAGGGTGTACGAGCAGAATAGTGGCGAGCTTATGGATAGGTTGAGAGATAGTGTGGATGTCAGTTATAACAGTATATGCCTCCATGATGTTTTTGAAATGATTGAAGCAAAGTTTCTCACTTTCTGAGGAAATCACAGCCACAAAGCTTTAAAATATGGACAGCACAGTTTGAAAACTGAAAATGTGTGTAGCCATATTTTTTTTTATTTCACAGTGGCAACTTTGTGATATTTTTGACATTTTCAGGTAGACGTTAAACTTTCGGTGTTCATGATGACCAGGCATCACGTATCGTAGGCGTTACATGTCACTCATTGGATTAAGCCATGCAGTATGGTTGCGTTACTGTAGCGAATAAGAAAACACGCACTTCGAAGACGCGCTGAGAGTATACGGCTCACATGGCCTGCCTTTGTAAATTAGCATTCAGTGTTCCCGAGTTTGGCAGAGTTCCGTGTCATCGATTTCGGTGGAAGGCGACCATTCAGAAGCCGGTGACCCCTGAACACGCCTATTGCAGATGGGGGCCTCCGAACGCCAGCCCGCCCACGTTCGAGCCAATAACTCAGGGCGGCGGGCTGCTGTACGAAGGATCTGATGCCAAGTTCCAGGTGAAAGTACACGGGAACCCACCTCCCGAGGTGGTGTTCACGCGGCGGGGCATGCCGCTGCGTGGCGACCCGAGGCGCCAGGTGACCTACGACCCGACGACAGGCATCTGCTGCCTGCACATCCGCAACCTGACAGCCGAGGATGACGGCGACTACAACTGCTCGGCCGTCAACTGTGCGGGCGAGGCCTCGCTTACCCTTACCATTCGCGGTGAGTGCGGGACCCTATACAGCTTCTTCCAGTGCGCATGCCCTTGCACGCAACCCAGTCCGTTGAGGCTGACTGTGAATCAGCCACGATGGTGACATGCGACGAAATTCTTGCTGCCGCGGTTGGGCGTGTAGAACGTGTGGGTAGTTGCTGAAGAATGGAGGTTCTCACTTCGTTACGATTCACTGTGGTACAAAAATAGTTTTATTTTCTAAATAGCGATAAGTGTAACTACACGAAGCACAACCAGTGAGCACAGTCCCCGACAAAACGTGAGAAGAAAGCAATACCGAATCAGTCATTGGCACTACATCAGGCGATGCCAATAGACAAGCCGATGTTGATGAGAGGAAATGCGTAGGTGTCTATACATCCACGAATATTGCTACTCTGTCTGGGCTTTTTTTCTTGAGCTAATGAAAAATGAGTGCGTGTTAGCCTGATGGTATTGAAACGCACGTTCATCTCCATTGCAGCGGCAGCGGCGGCTGTTATGCGTGGTCAGATGCAACATATGACGACAGTTCAAAAGACGCAAGTAATCGACTCGAGGACACATGTGCAAGATGGCGTTTCGCCAGTTCACTACTTCGCTGGTCACGACCAGGTAAGGAATATTTGTTTACCGAATACTAACTACAACAACGTAAAAAAACAACTTTGAAAAACATTTCAATTTGAATGAAACTACGCTACAACGTAGGGAAATGATGATAAACTTAGCCTTCCAATGTACAAAAAATAACTTCCAAGAAAGCGTTGATAAAGCGTACAGTGATTGAGAGAAGTGGTAGCGAATGTATCGATCCTTACAGGCAGCTTTGAAGGAGTGTGTTTGTTCTGTTTCGCTGCCTTGCTAATGTGGCTGCATCGGGTGTCGCAGTAATAACATTGAATTCACGCAAGTTGCCGAGTGCAAGGCTGCATGAGAAACTCGACCCTACTTACGTGTCTGAAGATGCAACGAATTACAACATCTGTGGACAATGTAACATGGCGCAAGCTCACAATATGCTGGGAGAGGTGTAGAGTGTCTTGCTCGCGCTGACGTTATCGTCTGGTTAAAAATATGCAGGTGAAATTTGCGCCTCGCATCAGAGATAGTAAAACGATTCAGTGTTATAATTTTTTGAAGGCTCAATAAGATTGAGCTTCAAGCCAACTCAATTGAAAATACAATGTGTTAGGTAAGTGCATTTTGCACGTGACGTTGTTATGTCCGTAGAGATTACGCATGCTGACGCGGTGCCCAACAACGCATAAACGGCGTATGTTTACCCGCAGGCTTTCAGAGTGGACACATTCGAGTACCGGCTCTTGCGAGAAGTGGAGTTCCGGCAATTCCTCATTGGACACGAGCAGGCACCTCTGCCGGCAGTGCCCGGCGTGCCTATTTCTGCACCTATGATTCAGGCACGGCCACGGAACTCCAAGCTTCTAGAAGGATCTGATGCCACATTCACAGTTAAAATCGCATCCAATCCTCCAGCACAGGTAACAAATCCAAAAGACCCGTTTTCTGTTCCCCTCTGTAACAGCAGCCTATGTCTAAAACGCAGGTTTATTGGTTCCGAAACGGCGAGCGCCTGCAAGCATCACAGAGGGTGATCATGGAGCAGCAAGGATCTACATACATTCTCCGCGTCCACATGGCTCTGCCCGAGGACGCCGGCTACTACACGGTCCTCGCTGTAAATCAACAAGGCTGCGTTGCCTGCTCTGCGCACTTGGTTATTGAATCTATGCCTAAGGCGTACGTAATCACACTTTGGCCCAAAGTATTTGTTGTTGCATGGCCTACGAAAATATACAACACTTTTGAATTTTATGCACATTCATTCTTTCATTTGCAGCGAGGAGACAAGACAGGCCGACTCATCCAGTTTCGTCATGACAGAAACATCCCGAACGCTCAAGCCCAGCTTCACCAAAATACCACAGGACCAGGAGGTCACCGAAGGCAAGATGGTGCGCTTCGACTTACGTGTGTCGGGACGGCCGTTCCCAGACATATCATGGCTGCGCAACGGAGTCCCCGTCAACGATGACGCCACGCACAAGCTGCTTGTCAACGAAGGAGGCCAGCACGCACTTATGATTACAGCGGCATCCCGGGAGGACGCCGGCACGTGGACGTGCATCGCCAACAACAAGAGCGGCGAGTGCCGCTTCGAAGTACACCTTGTGGTCATCGAAAAGGAGCAGGTGGTGGCACCCAAGTTCGTCGAGCGCTTTCAGTCACTCAACGTGCGAGAGGGCGAGTCTGTGACGCTGCACTGCCGTGCCGTGGGTACGCCGACACCGCGGATTACCTGGCAGAAGGATGGCCGACAAATCCATTCGCAGCCGCCGAACCTTATCATTGGTGAGAGCACGCCTAACGTAGTACGGCGTCACCAACGACAGCTGCATTCGAAACACATCACCGCCCATTGATGGCGTACGTGCGTTACATTACACCTACTTTTATTTTCGTTTTGCAGAGACACAAGAAGGAAGCTCAGCCCTGTACCTAAACCGTGCCGCAGCCACAGACTCCGCGTGGTACCAGTGCACTGCGCAAAACCAGGCTGGTTCGACGGCAACAAGGGCGAGACTACATGTGTTAAGTACGTATTCTGATAAAGCTGTACCACTTGACGGAAGAGATTGGACAATGCAGCTTGTTACTTGTGTGACACTAAGCATGAATGAATGAGGAATTGAGTAATCATGCCACACTCTTCCGTGCTCATTGCAGCGGAACCGAAGAAGCACACTGAACCATGGTCGCTTCACCTTCCCAAGCCAACCAAAGTTATATCGCCCGAGTAAGTACGCACAGAGTTGCTTGAAACATGAGGAATAAAAATATTGCATTTGTCACCATTGTTCCGTTGTTGTTTTTTGTGGCATGACCATGCACAGGAAGTCGCCACCACGCGAGACCATCTGGCTGCGTCACGTGGAGCGCGCCTACCAGCCAGTTCGGGGACCGGACGACGAGAGGGCGCCCCAGAAGCCGGCCTTCACTACACACTTGCAGGACCTTGTCTTGCACGAAGGCGAGCGCGGCCACCTCGATGCTCGGCTGATCCCCATCGGGGACGAAACCATGACCATTGAGTGGTTTTGTAACGGACGCCCTATTGAAGCAAGTAAGTGTGGAGCTGCCAGTCATATGTGTTCTCAAAGTCGTTTGTATTCTTTGCATGCTATCGCGTGAAATCTCGTGGTTGATAGGGCGTGCGGAATTGATGGTTACCACGTAGCTCTCGAAGAAATTAGCCTGTCAAAAAAAACGTCTTCGTATAAAATCATTGATGTTTAATGCGAAATATTTTGAGTCACTATGTCTATTCGAGAATAGATGCACTTTGTTGGTGGGGTGACGTTTTTTTTAATTATACTTACTTTTTTCCCACATTTCCAGGCTCCCGCGTAATGACGCTTTACCGCTTTGGTTATGTGGCGTTGACGCTCCTGCACGTGTATCCTGAGGATTCTGGAGTATACGTCTGCCGGGCAACAAACGAAGCCGGAGAGGCTACGACCACGGCCACACTACGATGCACAGGTGAGTGCAGGTTTCAAGTGACTGAATATGCATTCCGCATTGTAGTATTCCGTCACACTTGCCCTGGAATGCACTCGGTACATTCCTCTCCAGCCAACCTCCCTTTTTTTCCTTCCGCTTTGATGCTACAGCTCGGCCAGCAATCGAACGCAAAGCGATCCAGGAAGATAGCATTAGAGCCATTCAGGAACTGGAAGACGCCGAGAAATACTCCCGCCAGCTCTCAATCGACGAGACTGCGACCCTTACAAAACCTGTATTCATCAGACCTTTGAGCAACAAAGACAACCTTCCAGAAGGTAAAGTGATATGCTTACAATTATAGCAAGCACAAGATTGACAAAATGCTTGGAATTTTCTTTAAAATTTGCTTAACCAAATAAAAAAAAACTCTCAGAAATGTAATCGTATACCACAATTGCTGAGGGGGAAGTAATTTAAGTTGGCATTTCTTTCTCTGGAAGGTTCGAATTGCCACTTCGAAGCCCAGCTGACTCCTGTAAACGATTCTACTATGAAGGTGGAATGGTTCCTTAACGGCCAACCGCTCACCACAGGTATTTCTTGCGCTACTTAAGTATTTGAACGATACCACTACATGCAACCTTACGAGCAAGTCGCAAAGTAATTAGCCTATTTTACCAATAATCAACAACTTTCTCTTTTCCTTACCATCACACATTTTGCAAAATTTCAGGCTCGCGCATCAACAGCACTTTCAGCTTTGGCTACGTCTCCCTGAACATCATGTCACTCCGTTATGAGGATTCCGGAGTGTACATGTGCAGGGCCACTAACGCCAAGGGAGAGGCTGTGTCTACAGCGACCTTGAAAGTGAAAGGTGAGAGACAGCTTGCTTGCTCGCGAACTAATGTTACGGTGACAGATGGCATCCCTGCAAATTTTCATTTGAACGCGACTCTGGCTGCTCGAGATCCTTGCATTTCTTTATATGATAGTTAGAGAAACGATTAAAACTTGTCAAGGTGACTCGTTTTTTTAAGTAGGATTGAAGATTACCCCAACCATTTGCTTGACAGATCTTAAATTATGAATGAGTTTTGTTTCATAGATATCTTGTTTTTTATTGTTTTCTTAGCCTAATAAATGTATAAAAACAATTTACAGCAATATTAATCTACCAAATATATTGTAAAACACACGTAAACTATTTCCAGTGTACTTTTGTGTTCTTATAGTCCAACTAAGTACCATTAAAACGGTGAATATAACACATTTTTATTCTGTTTAGAAACTTTCATTTCTACACCATGCCAACAGTACCACACGCACAATAGCTGAGAAACGTGGAACTCTGCCACCCTGTTTCTTTATTTCTCAGCGCAAGGCCTCGTCACTGGAGACCTGGGCATTCCGGAGCAAGAGGCTTACATACGAAAGACGCAAGAGCTGGAGGCATATCAGATGGCCCAGCACGCGCCTAAGGAAATAATATTCGAACCTGTTTCCACTATGAAGCCAAACTTTAAGACAGGTTTAAGGGATCAGCTGAACGTCAAGGAAAACAGCACAGTGCACTTCGAAGCTCGCCTCGAGCCAACGGGAGACTCGTCGATGCGTGTTGAATGGTTCAAAGACGGACGCCCACTAGAAGCTGGTAAGTGCAAACTTTAGCCGCAAGACCTTAATCGCAAGTCGTGGCACTCGTTGGTGAGGGCTGCCGTTACCGATTTGCAGTGCTCTAATAGACTGATAACTTCGTTTTCAAGCGTTAATTACGTCAGCTTTGTTTTGATAGAACTTTGATATACATTGTGTAACGATGTATATTGCATGATTTTGTTTCTGTTAATTAGGCTCTCGAACTACGACTTTCTTCAACTTTGGCTACGTATCGCTCACAATTCGCGGAGTGGAGGCCCGCGATTCTGGTGTGTACACCTGCCAAGCGACCAATTCCATCGGTTCAGCCACCACGCAGGGACGTCTGGTCTGCGTGTGTAAGTAGCCACAAAGACAGCACGGTAGTGCGCGAATTTCTGACGTGTTTCTTTTGCATCAAATTTTACAAACTTTTATTGCAGCTCAAGCATCAATTGTGAAAGAAACTCAGCATCCTGGCGGCCTCCAGAAGATCCAACATTTGGAAGATTCCTCGCACTATCAACGATCCGAATTCGAAGAGGTAAATTTGTCTCAGTTACCTTTCTTACTGAACTGACACTGTACCACCCTTCACATTTTAGGTGTCCATAACAGAGAAGCCAAAGTTCACGCAACCGCTTCAAGGACCCAACGCTGTGAAGGAAGGTCAGAGCGTCCACTTCGAGACCCGACTGGAGCCGATGGGTGATCCCAACATGAAGGTTGAATGGTGAGCATTTTCATCAACACTATCTTCATTCCAGCTCGAGCTTCCGAGGCAATGACACGCGTTGCTGTATTTTATGAATAGTCAAAGCTAGAAAAAAAGGGGGCGTTCACGACAGAGAAACACAATTTGACGCTTTTGTGACTTGCGGGGTCATGTGGTTATGCACTGAAGTGCATTTTTGATGTCCGCAGAAGAAGTTTAGAAAAGCAAGATTTGGGGCTTCCAAACTGCAGCCATTAACGGTGGCATTTCTTCTGAATAGTAAACAAGGAATGACTGAACGAATGCACGTTCACGAAGAATACACCGTAAAGATTAGTAATGACACAAGTGCACAAGAAGGTAGTAGTACTAAAATACAAGCAAAAATCCGTGGTGTTTACTCACTTCCTCATATGCTTTGCCTTAATGCGATGGTAAAATGGGCGAAAACAGTCGATAACGCGTAAAATTTACAAAATATATCAGTTTTGTGCTACCCTGGCAGTAGACGCCAGATACAAGTGGTGGTTCTTGAAAGGAGAGACGTGCCTTTGTTTGAGCGAGAAGCTATTATGAGATCTAATAAAATATACGTGCTGCGAGAATACCTTTTTTAAACGCTCTTGAGGTGGTACACCTATAAAAAGAAAGAAAATGCGAGGAAGTGTTTAATGTTATGTGAACTGCGCTCAAGCTACCTTTGACAATTTTTAGAAAGGTTTTCTGATCCTCAATAGGAAGTTGGAGGACTCTTCAATCTAGGAAACCCCCCAATTGCTATCAAGAAAAAGCCAGAGCTTTGCCGCAAAGGCGAAGCAATGAACGCGTTGGCGACAAATTGGAATGTCACGCGAAGATGGGCAAGCACATCAAAATGTTCCCACGTTGTTCACGCACAATTGACGCACGAAACATACTCACATATACAGATGAACGCAAAAAATCGTTGCAGTTGTTACTTAGCCGTCTCTGAAAAGTGCACCCTTTTCGCAAACGGAGACTGTTCAGCGAGTGCAGTGACCTTTGTGTGCCCGGTAGCTACAACAGAACCGTTCCGGTGAAAGCCCAAGACATGCGATTCTCCCCAACGCGACATTAGCACGCGCATGCGCGAGCGTCTACCCACTCCCCTTTCGCGGGGCAAAGTACGCGTGGTAGATCAACGGACCAGCGCCTGTCGCCGCGTCGAGACGATCTGGCGACGCGCGCTTGTTGCGCCATCTTGCTGGTAATGCTGAAAAAACAATAGTTCCTCCGAGATCGCCATCCCCAGCGGTAAGTGGTAGATATAAATAGCTTGCCGTTTCAATGTGGAAACAGGTGCTCCTTCGAGGTTCAGTGGCTAGCGCCACGCACTCACAAGCAAGAGGTCGGACGTTCGATTGCACGCGCTGGAGTCTTTTTCTGGATTATTTTTCTTTCTTGCGTTTTCATATATATTGACACGTATGCATATACGGTGAATGACGGCGGTAACCAAAGTCGACGCCGGCGGCAAAATCCAGCTGAGATGTTCATAAAATTGCAATAAAGAACCTTTCCTCAGACCAGTCAACGACCGCCTGTCAAAGGGACTGGTACCGCTATACCTCGTACAACAAACGTTTGTACCTCCTCCTTCTCTTCAATTTCAAATGACTGGCATGATATCGCAAATATACGAGGCACATATGCACTTTAGCGTTAGCATGCTGAGCAAAACGCGAATGGGTCAAAACAAAGCTAATACAGTGTATGTTGATTTGTATTTGGAAGCCCTATATGTAATTGGGGTTCAGCTGGTGTCAGCGTTGAAACCGAAAAATGAAGCATCCATGAGAGAATAACAATAGTTAGGAACTTTCACAAATTAGAAGACTTAGCTTGCAAGAGTGGACGTTTGACTGAATTTGTTAGAGTTTATTTAGAAGATGGTATAGTGAGAGAGATATAAAGGTTAAGCGAAATCCAGGAAGGTTAACCTGAAGATAAATATTCATGATACTTGATAGTTCAGGCTAGGGACAAGGACAAAAGAAAAGAAAAGCGCGCTCAACACAATAGAGCACTACAAGTCTGTCTTCTTTTAAGCTCGTCCTCAGGCTACAATACCAACAATCCCACATTTCCATCCTCATTGGTCAAGATCCAGTTTATGAGCTTGCACTGGACACGAGATACGATAAGAAAGAAACGTAAGAAAGAAAAGAATGAGAGAAAGGGTTAAAATGGAAAAGGTACACGCACACATACGCGCACAAACAAATAGTGCGTACAATATTAAGAAATGGGTTAGGAGAAGCAAGGGAAAATAGCGATGCCTTCAAACTAGATATATTTCTGGAAAAAAGTACATATGTAGACGACGAGAAAAAGAGAGGATGGCAGGAATAAGTGAGCACATTATTGGCGACGCATTATCTCACGCGGATCAAACATGCACTCATATTTGATCTAAAGTGTGGCAAGGTAGACAAATTGTTTTTACGACGGCGCAATAGGCAGTGCGCTAACGCACATGTCATCCAGCTTACGCATCCGTTGCACTTTGATAATTTCGGGTTTAACTGCACTTTACGTTTTCCCATCACTCTACATTCATTGAAACGGGTTGTGCATTCTCGGTGGCGTCAGTGAATGCCGATATGACCCTGTAACTTTTCTTTCTTTGTCATTTATGCCTGCAGGTCAAGGATTGAAAAAACACTTTTTGCCTTACAGCTTGGCTTATCCGAAACTTTTTTGTGAAATTTGGAAAACAATTTTTTTGGGCTATCGCTCCTGCGCCACTTTAATGTTATTACCTTTCTAGCCTGTAAAGAATTAGTGAAGCACTCTTGCTTTAATAATAATGAACGCAGTGGAAAAGATGACCACGCTGAAAAAAAACACTTAGACAGGAGGGACGCTATCTTGTTCTTGTTCACAGCTATTTATTTCTCAAAGATGAGGTGTGTTATTAGATTTATGTGCACGTTAAAGAACCTCAGGTGATGGCAGCTCTTGATTGCGTAGTCTCTCATAATCATATCGTGGTTTTAGGAAGCTAAACTTCAGCAAAGAGTATTACTATTTCTGAAATATATAGATGCATATATGTAGCACTTTTTTTGAAAAATCTTGGGCAACGTGCGTCTTCCTTCATCTACCTAACCTTGTTAAGAAGCGCTTTCCAAATAATACACATACGAATGATACAGGTATATTGATCTATCACTTACGAAATATTCACCCCTCGTTCTTATGAAAGACGACTCCAAAATTTCACGTGCTTTGTTTTTGCTTCTTCCCTGGATACGTCCGCATCTTCGTGATGTCACATGCGCGCTTAAATGCGCACTGCCCCAATTCCTAACTCTAAGTGCGTGCTCCCTCACTCGATCATTAACGCAGCCTCCCGACTGGCCTGCGTAGCGTTTCCTGCACAATAAGGTATTTCGTAGATCGCTTCAGTGGCGCACTCCATGAAGGGCCGAGCATGCTTCGTATTGCAGCCTTTCGAATGTTGGGCACGATTTACTCTCACGCGAGGACACAGCTTCACCAGTTTTTTCTGAAGCCGGGGAACACCAGTGGTACACCATGGAGATTCGCAACCTCATGTGCATAAGGTACTACCTCAGGCTAGGTCGTTTATTTAATTTATTCAGTAAACTGGCAGATACCTAAATGACCAGCTGTGTGGGCATAACAACAATGCCTTTAATAGTATACCCGGTCATATCGGCATTCGCTGCCGCGACTGAGGGTGCACACCCCGTTTCGATGAACTTAGGGTCGTACGGAAGCATAGGGTCCAGTTAACGCGTGATATTATCGTATCGCAGTTCATACATAAGCTGAGTGGCATGTTAGTGCAAATAAAAAAAAGAATTTGATTACCTTGGCCGGACTTAAGAGCGAATGTGACTGCATATTTGATGCACATACAGCGCTCAACACCCGCGTTAGAACACCGAAGCTTTGGTTTTTTGCGGATGACGCATAACACGTGCTTTTATACAGGCAACATCTGAACATGCGCGGCGCCATCTTTTCACGTTTATCGTCGCTGTCACAAATATTATTTTGGCCGTCAGAAGCACTGTCGATGACGTGTGGCCTTGAAAAAAAAACGTATGGTATATGTTCAATGAACTGCCACAATGCCGGTAACTAAGGGTAATCGTGCAATGCTTTGCCCCTGACGCCGAGCCAGGCCGTTCTCCGCGATTTCAATTTCTTTTACTTTATTTATTATGTGGCGTTACACACCAACAATGCTTGAAACAGCCAAATCAGTTGTTGTGTCAGTGGTGATAAACAAGGAAAGAAAATGACCTTCAGGCGTACTATTGGCGGCCGCACACACTGAGATGTGGGCCATCTCAGACTGCGTGTTATCTGTGAATCAGCATCTGCACGCAGAAACAGACCTACTGTATCCACTCGAAAGCATCGCCCTAGACGAGCGGGTTCACTTCTGCACAATGATGTGTCAGCAACGAGCTTACCTGTTCATGTATTTTTCCCTTTCTCTCATCGTGCTTGTGTGCACTTTTTCACTGAAATAAGCCTTGTTGAAAATCAGCGTCTTTTGCTCTGCCACTGTAGGAAAAAAAAGAGATATGCGCCTTCTAGTCGGGGTTTTTTGTGCTTGCGCTTTATTGCGGCGTGGCTGCACATGTACGTACGTGTTTGTGTTTTGCATAACGAATACCCATTCAAGCCGTTTGTTCCGATTGTTCCGAACCTTCTGTTCCGATTGCAAACTAGCTTTTTTTTTTTACCTTACAACATGTTTCGTATTGAGATTATAGGTGCCAGACAGCAAATGCTCATGAATTACGCTTCAACAGGTTCCACAATGGCCGTCCACTGGCTACTGGTCATCGCTTCAAGACGTACTTCGACTTCGGATACGTCGCTTTGGACATTTTGTACACATTCCCTGAAGACACTGGCACCTTTGAAGTCCGGGCAACCAATAAACTCGGAACAGATATACTGAAGAAGGAGATAAACGTGCAAGGTACGCCAACAGCGTCGGTTAAGTGCACGTCTGCTTAATTATTTTGTTCGGAGTGTTTACGTTTAGTTTTGTCCCGCTGATTTCCGCAGTAACCTTCGTGTACGCACTGAACGTCATCTACTATTTGTATTTTCCAGTGAAAGCTGCTGTTGATACAAGCGCCATCCACGAATTGGGGCTTGAGAAAATCGAGTACCTTGAGGGCTCTGGTGTCGACCACAGCGGCTACCACATCGAGGAAGTGACGAGGACTAAGCCGTATTTCAAGGTGCGTACTCGTGCAACGATTGCAGTCGCGAAACTTTGTGGGCCGAAACCACCGTGAGAGCGCAACTAAACCGGATGCACGAGAAGGAACAGACGAGAACAGGCGCACTTCACAAAATTTTTTGAGCGCAACTATACCGCTGGCCACTGGTTTGAGGGGCTTTCGTGGTCCACCTTTCGCGTTAAACTGTGGCACTGTCACGTGGTGGCCAGAAGATACAATGTGAGGCACTGCCACGCGCCCTGACTGTTTGTCGCCGCAAGTGATACTCGTGAGCCGGCAGGCATCGTGTGAAAAGAAAGTAGGGTTGGCTTGTGTTTCGCGTCGTTTTTTTTTTTCTGCCTCCTCCCTTAAAGCCAAGTTAATTCTTTCATAGCCCTGTTGCAGCCAGGAACGAGCGGGAAATGGGCGCGACATGCGTAATTCAGAAATGATCAGCGATAACATAATTGCAGATACGCAGCTGCCACACTCAACACAGAAATAGGAAGCCTTGTGCTGCAAAAGCTTACTTCTCCTCCATAGTTTAGAAGGAAGTATAGTCTTACCCCCGTATTCACAAACGCTCCTCCACTCGACTTTCACCCCTCACTTGACAAAGTTGAGCACTGCGCCGCTGCTCGGCTAAAAATGACGCTGCGCTGTTCGAGAATCGCACCACATTATCACTGATATGCAGTGACTTGTCTGGCCTAGCGGGAGCCCTTCCATCACCTTTCTCAAGTGAGGGTGAAACGTTGAGTGAAGGGACGTTCTAGAATTCGGGGGTTAGTCGCCTACGTGTTTTTCAAACAGAGAAGACAAACCCGCACGACTTTTCGGTGTTGGTACAACAATATCATTCGTCTTTTTGCCTTTTATGTGATGTTGTTTGCGACAAGAGACACTCTACTGTAGTATGGCTCTGAATTTCGGATGGCGGTGCTCTTAGAAAGCGTTTCATGCGCGCGACGGCGAGAATGGCGGAGTGAGGTGCAGGGGAACCGGTGGACTGCAAGGCTGTGCGCGCGCCTACCATAGCGTTTTGGTCACCAATCACTTGGGGCTGTGCGTGCCCAGTTCAGCGTAGCCAAATTTGCAACATATCGCTCGTGAACGTTTATTTTTCGGGCATGTTCACTGTTACTTCCAGCATTATGATAGGATTGAATTAACATTAACACACTATTCGCTGCAGTGAATACGGGTTTTTAGCGAGAGGCACAGAGACGTGAAGGATTCGCTACTTTTTCACATGGCCAGGTGTGAGGACTCATTCTAATCTAGCAGGTTCCTCCAGCTCCGAGCATGAGCGGCGCGAGAAGCGCAGCGCTGTGATTAAAAAGTGGTGATGATGATGATTGATTATGAAGGTCATGATACAGGTTTTATGAATACGGAGCCTCTGCTCCCGCATTCGCAATAATCTCTTGCGCTACAACTGTTCGTTAGAAAACAAAAACTTAACTTCTCAAAGTGGACAAATTATCGAAGAAAGTGCTAAGTCAGTGCTGAACAGTTCTTACGAACAGAAAGCGTTCTGAATTCAGCCCTTAAAGAGAAAACACAAACCAGCCTTATTTCGATCTCCGCTTTACAGGTTCCCCTCAAGGATCCCAAGGGACCTCTGAAAGAGGGGGATTCCATCGTAATGGAGTGCGCCATTGAGCCTGTTCAGGACTCGACAATGAAGGTGGAATGGTTTTTCAACGGTCGCCCACTCCCAACTGGTAATTATCGATACACATATGCCAACATCTTCTCAGCGAATAGAAAACTGTCCGAGAATCTGGCGTCATTGTAAAATTTACGAGCTTCGTGTTATGTGCGTTTACAGGTCACCGGTTCATTACAAAGTACGACTTTGGCCGGGCGTTCCTTCAGATTTTGAACCTGGTTTCGGAAGATACCGGGCAGTACACTCTACGAGCAACCAATCATCTTGGATCTGCTCATTCAACCTCATGCATCAAAGTTATCGGTAAGATTAGCGGATCGTGCTTTTTCGAGTTTAATGGGAGATAACCCACTTGAGTATTTGAGAAGGCGAATGATAATACTGAGAATTTCGATCAAACAAAAAGCAACAAAACGGGCATATTTCTATTTACTTTCCGCTCCTTCAGTGCGCTAATAAAATTTTTCAACAGTAGGGAATTCACTGGCATCACTGCAGAACTTGTACTTTTCACGCGAAAGACCGAACAGTAACTAAAATGTTTTTTATTGTTCTTGACGGCATAAAGGAGCGAGCTTTCCCAATGCTGTCGCTGCACACCATATGCATATGGGAAGGCTAAGGTAATCTGAGAGCTTTTATTTTTCTTTTTTAACAGGCAAGTCTGGTGTAATCACAGACTCGCAGTACCCGGAAGGCTGGGAAAAGATCCAGCACCTGGAAGACCACTCTCGCTACACCCGCCAAGAGCACCAGGAAAGCATCATCACCCAGAAACCAACTTTCAGCCGACCGCTGCATAATGTGGAAACTGTAGAAGGCGCCAACGTGCACCTCGAGTGTCGGCTGCAACCTGTTGGCGATTCCACCTTGCGGGTTGAGTGGTTCAGAAACAGTGTGCCTATCAAAGTCGGTACGTAACATTCTACGTTTCTTTAAAAAAAGCACTATAAAAAGCACTGTGTCGATGCTTAAGCTGAAATTGTGTGCCTCACAGGACATCGATTTAGACCTGCGCACGAGTTCGACTACGTCGCCTTGGACATCCTCAGCTTCTATCCAGAAGACTCGGGTATCTATACGTGCAAGGCTACCAGCTCACTCGGTGAAAGCGTCACGTCTTGCAACGTCAACTGCTTCGGTGAGTTGCTGCACACTACTGACACAATTTACTCCAGTCAAATAGCACTTCATTTTTTTACGTTTATTCTTCAGTATATTCAATCTCTTCGTGTTATTTTTACTGCGCTGCGTAAAGAGCGCTAGACGTCTCCCGAGTGTCAAAGTTAAGCTGGCAATTAAGTTCAGGAATGTGCAATTGATTAAGGAATATGGAAGTTTGCTTTGGTGGTTTGTGCGTGGCTATATGAGAGTAGACTCTGGCTATATGTCTGCACCAGGAAATGCTTCTCACGTTGACCACATAGTATGATAGAGCTTGGAAGGGGCACTCGCTGCTTGGAAGTAGATCCCACGACCATTCCTACTGCGCGCATCAACTCCCGTGAATTTCACCGGGCGTATTACAAAAATAAAGAAGACAGCCTGTCGTCAATGGCGATCTGATATTAGGGTTTGACGTTCGACACGGTTTCCATGCAGAGATCAGCAACTTGCCTGGCAGAAGTGCCAGCTGGTAGAGAAATAATATGAGTAGAATTAAACTGCTAAGAATTTATAACAAAACAATCATTTGTTTTTTGGGCATCATCATGTCATTTTGTGGTTAAAAATATGAAAACTTTGGCCATCGGGTCCTGTTTTTGTGAATGACTACTTGTAGTTTAGCTTATAGCGGCCCTTCATTCAATCTACCCTTTTTTCGTTAGCCAAGTCACAGCTCATTCTGGAGTCCCAGCACCCTGAAGGTCTCCAGAAAATACAGCAACTTGAAGACCAGTCCCGCTTTCGTCGCGAGATCATTGAGGAGACAACGGTGAAGACCAAGCCCTCCTTCACGTCAAATATGACAACTCTTAGCCTTCGAGAAGGACAGAATGCCCACCTGGAGTGCCGACTTGAGCCCGTGAATGATGCTGACCTCAGGGTTGAATGGTTCCACAACGGAGTCTCCCTTCCTATTGGTGAGTTGCACATTAATCAAGAACACTACGAATATAGTTGATATTGCATATGCAACACATACTTTTTTGTTTATTGCAGGTCATCGGTACCGGCCTTTCCATGACTTCGGCTATGTCGCACTCAATATCCTGTCACTTGTGCCAGAGGATTCGGGAACTTACACCGTACGCGCTACGAATTCCCTCGGAAAGGCTGAGCTATCAACTACAATTCTTGTCGAAGGTAGGTGCCCTATTCATTAAAAATATTTGGACATCCATGGCAGTTTTATAATAGTATATGCATCCATAGGAAAACAGTGTCGATATAGGTTCCATGATTTATTTTGCAGGAAAGTCATCCGTTGACACAGACACTCAGCATCCTGAGGGACTGCAGAAGATTCAAGCCCTCGAAGGCCACCAGTACGTATGCGCAAGATTATTTCTGCTTTCCTTTTTAATGTAATCAGTCTAAACGCAACAGATGTTGCATGATTTATCGATGGTATGTTTCCACATACGCAGCTACGAGAGAGACACTGGGGACCTCGACCAGTCTGTTACTACGGCACCCGTTTTTACGTCTGCTCCCAAGTCTATCGTGGTTCAAGAGGGACAAAAGGCACATCTAGAGTGCCGCCTGATTCCGGTGGGAGATGCCAAGCTCAAGGTTGAGTGGTTCAAGAATGGCCAGCCAGTTCCGGCGGGCTCCCGTTTTGTTGAGATGTGCAATTTTGGCTTCGTGTCCTTGGACATTCTTAGCACATATGCTGAAGACTCTGGCACGTACACTTGCAAAGCAACGAATCAGTTGGGAGAAGCTGTTGTATCCGCTCAGCTCAAGTGTCACGGTATGTGTCTAATGGTGTGATTATAAGCTTTACCTTTTGCGTGTGCAGGTTTGACCGTTTAAATAACAATTTTACTTCGCAGCTGAAAAGTCGCTCATATTGGACACGCAAAACCAGGAAGCCTATGAAAAGATCCAGCAGCTTGAAGACTACGGGCGGCAAATAAGGCCTGCCGTCGTGGAAGAAATTACCACGCAAGCACCCGTGTTCACGCAAGCTATGAAGAACCTTAACCTCAATGAAAACCAGAGTGCTCACTTTGAGTGCAAGCTTATACCAGTGGGTGACCCTAATCTCAAGGTTGAATGGTTCCACAACGGACTTCCCTTGCAGAAAGGTATTTGCTGTATTTACAAGAACAAATGAACAACGTACTTTTAACCATGTGAAATTATTTCAGCTAATCGAGTCAACACCATTCATGACTTTGGATTCGTCGCTCTTGACTTGAGTTACGTGAAGGCACAAGACTCAGGCACGTACACTTGCAAGGCAACCAATTCTCTGGGGTCTGCTGTTTGTTCAGCTACTCTCAACGTCCAAGGTAATAATGCCGTTTCACTGTTTTAGCGCACGACATATGCAAACGGCCGTCTCTTTATTCGTAGATTCGAAATCTCTGGTGTTTGACACTCACCACCCCGAGGGACTTCAGAAGATTCGACAGCTGGAAGAACTCGGACGCTACAAGGAAGAAGTAACGCATGAAGCCCCGTGCCCCGGTCCACCGATGTTTGTCACACAACTGCAGGGTCCAAGCCGCCTTACAGAAGGTGAAAGCGCCCACTTGGAATGTCGCATTGCGCCATATCCCGATTCTACTATGAAGGTTCAGTGGTTCCACAATGGCGTCGAGCTGCAGTCTGGTACGTGATATGTTCTTAAGAGAACTAATGTCTTACAAATAAAGCGCCGTTAACTTACTTCCATTATTCATGCACAACAGGGCATCGCTACCGAACGATGTATGACTTCGGTTTCTGCGCCTTGGACATTCTATCCGCAAATGCTGAGCATTCTGGTGAATATGTAGTCCAGGCCACAAATGAACTTGGTACAGCAAGGTCGACGGCACGCATTCATGTTGATGGTAAGTCACTCACGCTCCGTTGGCGTGGTTCTAGAAGCTAAAAGATCTCCGCTTTTTTTGCAGCCAAGGGAGGTGTCATCCTCGAAAGCCAACAACCAGACGCCCTGCCAAAAATAAAGCAGCTGGAAGAATCATGCGGATACATCAGGCCAACGCAAGAGGAAGTTGTTATTAAGGAGAAGCCTAACTTTGTCCGTGGCCTCTACAACTTGGATACTCTCCATGAAGGCCAGAGCGCTCACCTTGAGGCTACACTTACGCCAATCAATGACGCGAACATGAAGGTCCAGTGGTTCCACAACGGCGTTGAGATTCCTCTCGGTAAACATACAATTTCGTCTCGAAAGAATATGACCACTTCATTAATAAGTGATCATGTTTGTTGGCAGTAACCCATGTATGCAATGAGTTTACCTTGTGTTTTGAATTATTCGAATAGGTCACAGATTCAAGACTGTGTCTGACTTTGGCTACGTGGCCCTAAATATCCTGTACGCGTACCCAGAGGATTCTGGCACATACATGTGCAAGGCGACCAACAAACTCGGCGAGGCCGTCACCACTTGTTCCATCAACGTTCTCGGTGAGTTTCTCAAAATTAACTGCTTCTAAGGAGCGAATTTCTAAAAACAATTTTCTCTAATTCACCAGGAAAATCTGCGATTGTCACCGATACGTACCATGAGAAAGGCCTGGAGAAAATCAGGCAGCTTGAGGAATACCAGGCTCCAGAGAAGCCCGAGCAAGTCATTCAGTTGCAGCGGCCTGTGTTCACAGTACCTCTCAATTCAGTTGACGGCCTTGTTGAAGGACAGAGTGCTCACATGGAGTGTAGACTTGAGCCAATTAATGACGCCGATCTTAAAGTCCAGTGGTACCACAACGGGGTTGAAATCCAGCCAGGTAAGCACTTAAAGCAAAGCACATTTACACTACTTCAGTACGTCGGAAGATTTTTCTAGTAGAACAAGCAACTGTATTTGTTCTTTTTTTCGTATAGGACATCGGTTCAGAACAACGCATGACTTTGGATATGTGGCCCTTGACATACTGTATGTGTATGCTGAAGACAGTGGAACGTATATGTGTAAGGCAACCAACTCTCTCGGCGAAGCTGTTACGACATGCAACCTTCGGGCGCTCCGTGAGTTTTGAAAATATTAATTCTTTTGATGGAAATAGATAAAATGCTTTATTATCATACTCTCAGTTTTATCCATCAGAAAAACGCTCTTTCACTTAGTCTGCAACAAACTTAAATCACTTTGCTTGGCGTTTAAAAAATGCTAAATCATTTTTGCAGCCAAGCAAAAAATCTTCTACGATACTCATCACCCGGAGGGTCTTGAGAAAATACGAGAGCTGGAGGCGCAAGTCAAATACCAGACAGCCGAAATTCAAGAGAAGCCCGTTTCTAAGCCTGTGTTCATCACTGAACTGAGGGGAACGCAGGAGATCTCGGAAGGCGAGAGCGCCCACCTGGAGTGTCGCGTGAGTCTAAAGTCATCATCATCAATCACCAGCCTGACTACGTCCACTGCAGGAAAAAGGCCACTTCCATGTTCCGCCAATCAACTCGGTCCTGTGCTCGCTGCTGCCAATTTATACCCGTAAACCTCTTAATCCCATCTGCCCACGTAACCTTCTGTCTCCCCCTAACCCGCTTGCCTTCTCTGGAAATCCAGTTAGTTACCCTTAATGACCAGCGGTTGTCCTGCCTACGCGCTGCATGCCCGGCCCATGTCCATTTCCTCTTCTTTATTTCAACTATGATATCCTTAACCCCCGTTTGTTCCCTAATTCACTCTGCTCTCTCCTTGTCTTTAATGGTTACACCTACCATTTTTCTTTCCATTGCTCGCTGCTTCATCCTCAATTTAGGCTGAACCCCTTTTTATAAGTCTTCAGGTTTGTGCTCCATAGCTAAGTACCAGCAAAATGCAGCTGTTATATACCCTTCTCTTGAGAGATAGTGGCAATCTACCTGTCATGATTTGAGAGTGCTTGCCAAATGTGCTTCACCCCATCCTTATTCTTCTAGTTACTTCAATCTCGTGGTTTGGCTCCGCGGTTATTACCTGCCCTAAGTAGACATAGTCTTTTACAACTTAAGTGCACTATTACCTATCTCGAAGCGCTGCTCTCTTCCAAGTTTGTTGTACATTACTTTCGGTTTCTGCAGATCAATTTTAAGACCTACTTGTCTGCTCTCCTTGTCTAACACCGTAATTATGAGTTGCAATTCGTCCCCCAAGTTACTCAGCAACGCAATGTCATCGGCGAAGCGCAGGCTACTATAAGGTACTCTCCATTAACTCTTATGCATGATTGTTCCTATTCTAGGCCTCTGAAAACCTCCTGTAAGCACGCGGTAAATAGCACTGGGGAGATTGTATCCCCCTGCCTTACACGCTTCTTGATTGGTATTCTGTTGCTTTCTTTATGAAGCACTATGGTAGCAGTTGATCCCCTGTAAATTTCTTCCAGGATGTTTATATATGCTTCGTCGACGCCCTGATTCCGCAGTGTCTGCATGACTGCTGATATTTCTACTTAATCAAACGCCTTCTCGTAATCTATGAAGGCTGTGTATAGTGGTAGGCTATATTCTGAGCATTTCTCTATTACCTGATTGATAGTATGAATGTGGTTGATTGTTGAGTAGCCTGTTCGAAATCCTGCTTGTTTCTTTGGTTGATTGAATTCTAATGTTTTCTTAAGTCTGTTAGCAATTACCTTTGTAAATAGCTTGTATACTACAGAGAGCAAGTCGATTGGCCTGTAATTCTTCAAGGCCTTGTCAACTCCTTTCTTATGTATTAAGATTATGTTAGCATTCTTCCAAGACTCTGGTACTCTTCCCGTCAGGAGGCACCTCGTAAACAGGGTGGCTAGTTTTTCTAACAAGATATATTCTCCATCTTTAACAGATTTGATGTTACCTGGTTCTCACCAGCAGCTTTACCTCTTTGCATGCTCTCTAAGGCTTTTCTGACTTCTTCTATCATTACTGGTGGGGTGTCATCTGGGTTACTGCTAGTTCTTATAGTATTAAGGTCGGGGTTGACCCGGCTACTGTACAGGTCTCTGTAAAACTCGACCGCCATTTTAACTATTCTATCTATATTGGTAGTTATTTTGCCTTCTTTGTCCCTTAGTGCATACATCCGATTTCTGCCTATCTCAGGTTTCTTCTTCGCTTCTTGAATAAGTATAACGCAGACTTATTCAAATGTTCTCAGAAATTCACGTTGATTTCTTATCTGCTTCAGGTGGAGCCAGCCCACGATGCCAAGTTGAAGATTGAGGTTCTTCACAATGGAAGGCCCTTGACAGCTGGTAATGAACGCAGTGTTTATACTATAACGAGTAATACTTACAATAAATTTTGAGATGCCTAAATGCTGTGCATATTCCGCAGCTACCCGAGTTCACATCACGAGCGACTTCGGTTATGTGGCAATAGACGTGAGCAATGCCATTCCGGAAGACTCCGGCACTTACACGGTCCGTGCGACTAACGACCTCGGACGAGCTGAAACAACGGCCACGCTGCGTGTCCTGCCGAAATCCAGCATCATCTCCGACACCCACCACCCAGAAGGTAATAATTGTCACATATACTGAATGACCAAATAACGAACCTGGTTTTGCATATGCTTTCTCGACAGGACTTGCAAAGATCAGAGAAATGGAAGACGAGGCTCGCTTCAAGCACGAAGTCATTCAGGAGCCAGTCACCTTCCAGAGGCCTGTATTCACGGTTCCTCTACAAAACCTAGAAAACCTCGTCGAAGATCAGAGGAACGTACACCTGGAATGCAGGCTGATTCCTGTCGGAGATCCTACTCTTAATGTCCAGTGGTTCTTCAATGACACTCCACTCATGGAAGGTTGGTATAGCTGTTTATCTCGGAATGCTTGTGATGTTTGCGACGTAACAATATCTACAATGTCACTTAACCTCTATGGCACCCGAGTTGACCTTCCTTTGTCTGCTGAATATCTTTTCTCCAGGCACGAGATTCCATCCAGTCCATGACTTTGGCTACGTTGCTCTTGACATGGACTATGTGCGCCCAGAAGACACAGGCGTCTATACTTGCAAAGCCACCAATTCATTGGGCCAGGCGGTGACCACGTGTATGCTCAAAATTAAACGTGAGTTTCCTGAGCTACGAGAATTTCAACATATTTTTTACATTTTCTTTGGTCCACGACTGTTAAATACATGGCCATGACAAAGAATTTTTTCTTCAACGTCTGTCTGTTTTTAGCCAAGGCCTCCATTCTGCTAGACACCTTGCAACCCCAGGGTTATGAGAAGATTCGTGAGCTGGAAGACCTGAAAGGGCAGAAGCCTCCGGAGAAACCTGATACGGTATATGAAAAGCCTGTCTTTACCACCCCCTTGGTTGGCCCTGGTGAAATCAATGAGGGACAGCCTGCACGTCTGGAGTGCCGCTGCGTGCCTGTCGGAGATCCCGACCTCAAGTTCTTCTGGTACGTCAACGGCATCGAGCTTCCCAAAGGTAAAGTTCGTTTTATGTCGCAGCCACTCAACAATCATGATAGTTTAAATTATCGGAAGAGTCCGTTTTGCTCGTATAGACCGAGGCCATTTGCGTACTAAGTACGTCAGATAAAATTACACAATAGGATCGATGATTTATGAGATCCGACATGTAGCGGGGAGAATTTTGATCTTTTGTCGGTCACTTTAATATTCAAGTATCACAGCGTCTCTCATTTTCAACAACTTTGCCGACCTTTTGTGTACGTCTGCTGTGCTCAACACCGTATTTTGTCCATGTGACTGGGTTATTTCCATGCGACTGGGTAATATCTAAAGAGGAGAGGGATGCGTAATGGGGAACAGAGGAAAGAGAAGGTAAGAAAAGTGAGCATGCTAGTCTCTTCTGACAAAACTATCTACTTCTTTGTTATCGCGCAGGCAGAAACAAGGTCATATAAAAGTCAAATTTGATGACACGCAGCACCACTTATGCCTTCTATGCGTCTTTGTTTTTGCATGTATGCGCAACAACGAAGTAGGAGGTGCTATGCCAACAAACCCATTCAGCCACCTGTAAGGATCCCTGTGTTTTGCTGTTACACATGCCTCACTGTGCTTTCAGGTTCGAGGCTTATCCCCAACAACGACTTCGGATTTGTGACACTCGACATCGTGTCAGGAATAGCAGAAGATTCCGGAGTCTATATGTGCAAAGCCGTGAATAAGGCTGGTGAAGCTGTCACCTCAACTTCTCTTCGAGTAAAAGGTCTGTTAAAGCGTCATTACCATAGTCCTGTGTTTGTTCTTATACTAAAAATATTAAAAGAGGAAAAATTTCAGTCCATCCTAACGGCTCCATTGAAAGGAATGTGCCCAGTATTAGGGGCAATATTGAATTATAAACTAAAAAGGCGAAGTACAAACAAGTCATTGATGATAACCAACACGATGTAACTGAACTAGTTTTGCAATCTAAATGTCTTGTACGCAACATTAAAATAGGTGGTAGTTCAAGAACATGCATTATAAACTAAAAGAACTCGAACATGTGTGATTGCTAGCACATTATTCATAGTGATATTATTCATAATGTAGCACATTATTCGTGGCACATTATTGCCAGTGTAAACTCCAGTAAGCATTACGGAACAGTTAATTTTATTGCAAAAGGTGCAAGGCTGTGCGAGGCTTTGATTGGTACACAATTTTTATATACGCTCCGAGGGCCGATTAAGAACGACGTACTTTGGTTACCATCGCGCGAAAGACTTGGATAATGAAGTTAGCGACGCCGTTACGACTAACGTCCGTTATATACGTTCAGTCTGCTAGTCTGTTTTTGTGCTCAGTCATTCACAGGGCAACAAAGGAAAACAAAACATTTTGAACCTAAGCATGGCTTATTTGCATACAGGCCGTGCCGGAGTGCTGCTTGACTCCCACCACCCGGAGGCATACAGGCAGACACAGAAGTTTGAGTATGACTCAAGTCGTATTCCAGAAACCTGGTCAGACGAGAAGCCTAAGGTGGCGCCAGTGTTTGTGCAACACTTGAACAACATCGATGGCGCTGTCGAAGGCCACTACCTTCGCATCGAGGGTCGCATCGAGCCTACTAACGATGACAAGCTCAAAGTTAAATGGTTCAAGAACGGCAAACCTTTGGTCATGGGTAAGTGTTTGCAGTTCATTTTGCATTCTTACGCATTTTAAAATTTCGACGCTAGCTGACACGCACTCCAAACGAAACTAACAATACACATCTCAATCCCTGCTCTTCTCGATATGCTTCCAGGTACGAGAATCAAGCCCACGGACGATTTTGGCTTAGTTTCCTTGGATATATCGAGCGCAAGACCAGATGATTCGGGTATTTACACCTGCAAGGCCACAAATGACGTAGGTGAAGCGATTTCGACGTGCACAATCAAAGTGGAAGGTGAGTGACGCGCCAAAGGTTTCGAATCTTGTGTGGACAATATTGCGGGTAATATCACTACAACACGTCCTTGCCATCACTCGCAGGCCGCGAAAACATCATCCTGGCTTCCCAGCATCCCGACTCGCTGCCCAAGATTCGCCAGCTTGAAGAGTACGTGCCACCGGAGAAGTACGTGCCTGAGCCGGAGTATGAAGGGCCTGTATTCGTCACGCACCTCAACAACCTGGAGATCCGCGAAGGGGCTACGGCGCATTTCGAGTGCCGCGTGGAGCCATCCAAGGACCCCACGCTCAAAGTGGAATTCCTCAAGAACAACAAGCCAGTTCCTGCCGGTGAGCGACAGCTGTTTATCTAGGGATAACCGTAAACGTACATGCTTATTTTAAACCTGGCGATAATAATAGCATAACACTTCAGACTCGTATCGTGGTCGGTAAGCCCACTTAGGACACTCGTATGCACCCACCGTAGGGAAGAAACCGCTGTACTTAGAACAACAGTAAAAAGCAATATAACGGAACGCAAACCAAACGTGATGTACGTTAGAACATTGGTCGTGCAGGTTGGTCATTAAGCTCTTACTTCTGCTTAACAATTGCTACTACGCGCGAAGATGCCATAAGAATAGGCATAACAAAAACCAGAGCATCCAAGTGTATCTGTTTCTCGCGCTTACGGGTGCAACGAGTGCGGCTTGTGTAGCACCTTCATATTTGAGACGGGCGAAATATTGAGCATTTCTCTTATTGCGTCCAGGTTCCAAATACAACTTCAACAACGACTTTGGTTTTGTCACTCTGGATGTGGGCAATGCATTCCCTGAGGACTCTGGAATCTACACGTGCCGAGCTCGCAACTCGAAGGGCGAGGCAGTCACCACCGGGTCTCTCAAAGTACAAGGTAACAATCGTCACAGTCGAAGTTACGTTACCAAATTAGGCACGCAGCAGAGACATACAGCTGTTTATTGTACTGAATATTCTTCCAGGCAAAAGTGGTGTGCAGTCCGACACTCTCCACCCTATGGGCGCACAGGGATTGTCCAAGGTCCAGGAACTAGAGACTTCATACCTGACTAGATACCAGGTACTTCCAAATCAAGCTGATGTTACTATGATGTCAGTCATTATCAATGTTACGACAAAAATAACAAATTCAAAGCGATAGCGTTAAAGAGTTTGTTTCGCAGAAATGCTTGCGTCGTAGTCGTCGGTTATGAGCGAAAAATCATGATCTTATGCGGGACCTAAAAATCGAGAACGATGAAAATAAAAGAAATGATAAAAAAATCCTGGAGCAGAGTGGGGATCGAACCAGGATTGTTTGGGTTCAAGTGGGGATTGAACCCACGTCGTTTGCGTGGCAAGCGGATGTTCTACCACACGGCCACGCCTCTTTTTTTTTCTTTAATGAATGACATTATCACCAGTAAATTACACAGAACATACTTCATCAGAAGTCAGGCACACACACAAGCGTCAAGAACGGGGGAAGCCACTCCGGAACGGGGTCAAAAGTCTGTGCCGAGCCACGGCCACGCCTCTGCTTGTGAAAACAGTGAAAAGAACTTCCTCTGTTTGGAAATGCAGTGAAAGTATTTTTCATACTTGACAAACACACACGTCGTGTATGCATGTTTTAATGCAACATGAGATATTGCAGTAATAATGCGTGGTATACAAGCGGCCATTGCCGACGGGCGTCAGAATATGTGATTATCATAATGGCTACGTGGTTGAAACCCCGTCACCCACTACAAAAGGCACACAGCTACTGCACCTATTCTCTTAAGGCCACGTAGTGGGTGCATAGCAAAATCGAAAAGGTTTCATGAAGTGCGCACTAGGAACAGGATGGCACTATCGCGTTTAACTCCTAAAGGCGAAGCATTGGGGTCCCCTAATTTTTCATTACATTTTACGTTCGATGTTACTGAGCCAAACGCCGATGACGTATAAAAGGACGTGCCGAACGTACACGCCGTCGTGTGGTATACATGTTCACGTGACATATTCCAGGCTCCTGTCGAGGAAGCGGAGAAGGTGTTCCCGCGGCCAGTGTTTGTGGTGCCGCTTGAGCCGAACTTCTCTATTCAAGAAGGCAGCCCAGTCACCCTCGAATGCAAGGTGGAACCAGCTACTGACCCGAAACTCAAGGTGGAGTGGTTCCTTAACGGAAAGCCACTCGCGCCAGGTAAGCATCGGTTCTTTCGGCGTGTTCCTTTATGTGGAAATTCAAACAAATGATCCAGAATCAGAGCTTTTAGGTCATGAGTGAACTAATAGTATCTCCGACGTCATGATAGGCTATCACCGGCGCCCGAGAACAATTCTAGAGTACCAAGATATTTTAACGTGTAGCAGCGTGTACATTACGACAATTAATGCATCCTTATAGGTGTCTCTCATTAAAAAAAACACGTGCTGCGTACATAAAGCTTTTTTTGTGGCCTGAATTGTCTAACCGCAAGATTTCTCTAAATAAAAGTAATTTTATTTATCTGGTATGTTTGCAAGCTGACTAGGTGAAAGATCATAAGGGCACTTTCAGCATCTTTTTTTCGCATTTCCCTTGCCCGAAAATGAGTCTGCCTGGTGTGTCCTTTGAGACATCATGTGGTTTCATTTTTATAAAAATCTTTATGCACTGAAAACACCTTCGCTAAGGAAAATACAGTCACGAAGGGGCAGTCACTTTACTACTGTTTATGAACTCGCGCGAACATTTTACACTAGCACTATATTCCGGCTTTTCAATCTGTAGAGACAATTTTTCATCGTTTCCTAGAACTTACTTTTTCTCCTGGTGTAAAAGTCACGCATAAATTTGAAACGCTGTCATGCCAGCTGTAGCAAAGTATTATTCGCAATTTTTTATAACATTCGGAATTTTTCACCTACGCCACGTCATCGACGAATCGCCTCGATATCGCACTCAAAAGAAGCGAATTCAATCAAAAATCGGCGATAATATTCAAATGAGTAAACGCAAAGAAGCCGTTAAAAATCGCCGTGTGATTTGTTTCAGGATCCAGATATACCGTGACCCACGACTTCGGCTTCGTTGTGCTCGCTCTCACTGACTTCTGGGGACGAGACGCTGGCATTTACACTTGCCGCGCCAGCAACGATGCTGGTGAAGCCTTCACTACGACCACCATTACATGTCTGTGTAAGTACGCGATTAAAATTCTTTTGACGATAGCTGTTTTTGCGCCGTGTGTCTTTACATGAACTCCGCTAGTTAACTTAGGATGCTTTTGGGTGAAAAGTGGAAGCAGGGAATAAAAATAAGGGTACCTCTCTTGTACATTTAAAATCAAAATTAATTCAAAGAAAACAAGTACCAGCTACAGTACATCAATAACACAGCGAAAGAGAGATGTGTAAAGTTAAACTAAACAAAATTTAGGTTAGACTCATTTTTGCTTATTTTGGAGCTCTGTTTAGGCTCTCACAAAGTTTGGCAGCTCTCTAGAAAATTGTGCGTTATTGGGAGACTAATTCTAGCTAAAACGGCCGACAAGTGTGTACGCAGAAGCGTCCATTTTAAACCGTCGCTGTTGTACAGCCCGCAAGGGTGTTCAGGAAGACACGCTGCACCCTGAAGGTCGCAAGGGGCTCGAGTCCATCCAGCAGCTGGAAGAGTCGCTGACGCGCGTGCCCGAAATGGTCCAAGAGGATGCCGCGGGCCAGCCACCCGTATTCACATCGCAGTTCGTCAACCTCAAGGACCTCAACGAAGGCGAGATCGCCCACTTCGAGGCAACACTGACACCAGTCGGCGATCAGACCATGCAGGTCGAATGGTTCTTCCGCGGCAAGCCACTGAAAGCAGGTGCGTTGTTCAGACTACGACGTCTGTTGTTTTTTTTTTATCTGTGGCCATAACTTTCGTATTCCGAAATGTTAAACTTGAATTACTCAATACTAAAGTTACAGAAAGAGACGTCGAAATACACTGTATACCGGATAGAGTAGAGTGTTCGAAAACAGCGGTGGTGAAAAGAACCCGTCTAGTACGAGTACAAAGCGCCCGTGCAGAAACTGTGCTCTTGGATAAGGAAGCATGCTGACACATATACGACGCAGGGCACCGCATCCGGACGGTACACGCGTTCGGCATGGTGGTGCTCGAGATCTTGGGCACGGTGCTGGAGGACTCTGGCCGCTACACGTGCCGTGCGACCAACAAGTGGGGCAAAGCCGAAGTCACTGTCGACCTCGAGTGCACGGACAAGACCAAGGGACAGCGGCCGCAATTTACCACGCAGCTGCAGAACCTCATGGACCTCAAGGTATGCGAGCCCAAAAGAAAGCATCTCCGATGAGCTTAGTCATCGATTTGATGAGCGTAAGCAGCAAGAAATCAGTAGTCCGTGACTGTTTACAATTTGTGAGCAGAGATAACTCAGATCGTGCACTATATTTTATGTATACCAGGATATAGAATATAGCTACATAAACAGTATTGTTGTGTGTTTGTGTGTGTCTGGGGAAAATTGGTCATTATATAGGTTTCCTGTGTTTTTACTGTCTGACAATGCGTCTATACCGTGTGCATTCACAGGAAGGAAACAGTGCCCACCTGGAATGCCATCTGGTGCCCGTTGGCGACCCAGACATGAAGGTTGAGTGGTACAAGAATTCACAGCCACTTCGCGACAGTAAGTGGGCTTCGCATAAAAATACGTGCTTATTTAACTTATAAACGTATCAGCTTTTATTCGGATATTAATAAAAAAAACAAGACAGCGGAGACGAAACCAACTTTGACAACAAGTAAAAATGTAACGTAACATCTTGTTTATTTTGTGGGGTTACTACGAAGGGCTTCCAAGACATGAAAAATTGCGATGCGAAAGCGCAACCCATGTGTTCATCTTTGGCCTGCTCGCCTGCTTATAGGATTTAGTCTTGCTCTGAACGGCGATGTCAACACTGAAGTGATGCACAATAAAGAAAAAGTTTCGTGTTTTTATGGAGAACTTATAACCACGAATATGGTTACCTTTCTTCGGGCGCTGTTTTATTCTTTTTTTCTCTCTCAAGTGGCATCAGAACTCATGCGAAGCTCGAAAAGTTTGCCGGTCGGCTACTTAAGTGTACGTCACCTCTCTTTTTAAGGCTCACGCATCAAGACACTGAGCGATTTTGGCTACGTGGTCATGGACATCTCGTTCGTGCACGCCGAAGACTCTGGCGACTACGTTTGCGTGGCCACCAACAAGTACGGCTCTGATGCGACCAAGTGCACCATTCAGTGCGCAGGTGAGGATGAACTACAGATGTTGTTGGGAGTTCCCGTGGAAACCATTCTGTAAATAACGAGGAAAACTTGCATTTGTTTAACTTGCTCTGCTTCTATTAAACAGTGACCATTTATTCGTGGTACACTATTTGCTATTTATTCTACAGAAAATTCTTGCTTCCTGACTTCTTATCTCTTCTTTACTTTATTTTTAGGTACCGGAAAAATATTCAGGGACTCTCTGCAGCCTCAGTCTCTCGACAGGATTGCCGAATTGGAAGGTGCCTCGTCACAAACTAGGTAATACCTGCCGTGTAACATTCATCAGTATCTTTTTGACTAATGATAACGATTGGCGTTTTAGATATCAAAACCAAGATACGATTTAGAGGGACGCTGTGGTGAAGAGCACCAGAAATATCAACCATCTGGGACTTTTTAACGCGCACCTCATGCTATGTACGCGGGCATCGAGCAATTTCACCTCCACCGAAAATGCGGTCGCCGCTTCTGGCATTAGATCCCGCATCCTTAGGGTCAGCAGTCCAGTGCCGTAACCACTAGACTACCATAGCGAGTAGGTAGGTAGGTAGTTATTAAACTTTACTGAAGCGAGTCTATTTTTAATAGACTCACTTTGACCATTGAGCGCATACATCGCTTAGGAAGAGTAGGACCAAACAAGACAAGGCCAGTCATGCTTCAATTACTGCACGAAAGAAGTACAAATATTATACTCAAAAACTGATTCGAGGTAAAAGATACGGTCTACTCGATAGCATAAAAATTTTCTCACGGAAACCTAGAGAAACTCTCAAGAAACTTTGGGACAGTGCTAAGCAAAACCGTGAAAACAAAGACAAGGTGTCGTTAGCGTACAACAAGGTGTTCATAAATATCCGTGTTTACATTTAGCATGACGAAAACAATGACAGGATCGAAATAAGAAAGCATAAAAAATAGCTAAAAAGGACGAGAGCGTAGAAGAAAAAAGGATCCACACCACCCAGAAATTCGGCAAAACCAGTGCAAGAAAAATAACCCTGCTAAACATAAATGCTCTAAGTATCATGAACAAGGTTCAGCCATTTGAAAGCTTATTGCTCGACCGTGAACCAGATATAGTAGCAGTGACCGAGACATGGTTACCACCACCCGTCTCGAGTGACGAAATCACTCCCCCAAACTACGTACTCGTTCGGAAAGATAGGCAATCACGTGGTGGAGGCGTAGGCTCAGCTGTAAAGAATTCAATTCCACTGGTCATTCTTCCATAAATAACTGCTGCTGAGGCAGTTTTTTGTAAGAATAATACAAAAAGTCACTGCTTCGCCGCACAGGTGAAGCAATGAATGCGAGAGCAACAACTTGGAATGTCACGCTGAGAACGAACGGCAAGCAAGTCGAAACGTGCAGCGCGCTGCTCAAGCACAAAAGACGCATGAAAACCACACTCACAGGACGAGAGCAAACTAACAACGTTTATCACTAGACACTTAACGCGCTGTTTAAACAAACAGGACGCACAAAACATAATCGCAGGTACATAGATGAGTGCAAACTAACAAGTGTCCCAGTTGTTATACTTCGCTGTGTATGAAAAGCGCGAACTTTTCGCAAACGGGGCCTGTACAGAAACCAATATAGCCTTTGTGGGCCCGATAACTAACACACTCGTTCCAGTGAAAGCCGAAGGCGCACGATTCTGCCCACCAACGGATTAGCGCCCGCACAAGCATCTAACCCCCCCCCCCCCCATCCGCGGGGCAAAATACGCGTGAGAGATAAGCGCACGTCGGTGCATCGCCCGACGCGCCCTTATCTCTTACGCGTACCTTGCCGACTAAGCACGGGCGGCTTTTTTTTTCTTTCTTCAGTGTTGATATATATATATATATATATATATATATATAGATAGATAGATAGATAGATAGATAGATAGATAGATAGATAGATAGATAGATAGATAGATAGATAGATAGATAGATAGATAGATAGATAGATAGATAGATAGATTTTCACAAACGGAGGCTGGGCAACGACTTCAGTGACCTTTGTGCGCCCGGTAACTACAACAGAATCGTTCCAGCAAAACCCAAAGGCTAGCCAAGACGTAAGATCCTCCCCACTGCAAGATAAGAACGCGCGATCGAGCGTTCATCTTCTTATTCTCTGCACGGACCAAAGTACGCGTGAGAGATGAGAGCCGCCACGCGCTCACTGCGCCATTTTGCTGATAATTCTGAAAACACGATAGTTCTCCCCCCCCCCCCCCAGATGTCCGCAAACAGAGGTAAGTGGTAGATATAAATAGCTTGCCGTTTGAACGTTGAAGGAGGTACTTGGTGGCTCATTAGTTAACGCCTCGCATTCTCGACGCGGAGGTCCCACGTACGATTTTGCGCGCCGGAGTCTTTTTCTCTGGATTTTCTTTCTTCCTTGCGTTTTCATATATATAGATACGTATGCATATACGGTACATGACATCGACGCCGATGCCGGTGGCAAAATTCAGCCGAGAGTAACCATATAATTGTTATCGCAATAAAAATAACCCGTGGATTTCTCATGATACAGGCAAAGCGTCAACTCAAGAGATTACGCAAAGTTAACAAGGCTGCCGAAAATAGCCAATTTAACACCGCCAGACTTGCGCTTGCTGCAAAAAACTTGAAACAAAAATCCAAGGAGGAAAAACACCACTATTTCAACACTGTACTCCCTAGCTTTCTCATAAGCAATTCACAACAATTTTGCAACCACTCTCGCCGAAAGAACACGCTCACAACTCAACTATCGTCACTCAAAAAAGCTGATGATGCCGACAGATATAACCTGTTCTTTCATTTTGTTTTTCACAAGGGAAAATGGCGTCATGCCGGAGTTGGTTGGACGCGCTCTGTCTGCTATAGACCCTCTCGTTATCACAGACACTGGTGTTCTTAATCTTCTGCTTGCCCTAGACACTAAGAAACCTTGTGGTCCGGATGATATAACCAACGAATTTCTGAAAAGGTACGCAGAATTGTGTAGCAAATATCTCGTCACCATTTCCGATAAATCGCTTTCAACATCAAGACTACCAGAAGATTGGAAAATAAATGAAATTATACCAGTTTATAAATCGGGAGATAAATCCATTGAATCAAATCTCAGATCGATATCTTTAACGAGCATGGTATGCAAACTACTCCAGCATATAGTTCTAACATTTAACAATTTTATTTTCGAAAACTAAGGCATCGTGTCCCCCAACCAGCAAGGTTGTCGAAGGGCAACGCAGCTAACAAAATCATACACACTCTTGCGCTAGGTATTGACAATCACAGCCAAACGACCGTAATTTACTTGATTTCTCAAAAGAGTGACTGTGTTTCTCACACCAATCTAATTATTAAACTAAAAAGCATTATTGAAAATGGAGAAGTTGTTGCTTGGGTGCGTAAACTTTTGTCTAATAGGTCTCAGCTTGTTATTTTTGAAAATATTTCATCAAATATTGTACCGGTTACGTCAGGAGTGCCCCATGATTCCTTGATCGCGCCCTAGTTATTTTTCGTGTATAATAATTACATACCTACTAATATAGACTGCAAAATAGTTATTCGCGGATGACTGAATCATTTATAGAGAAATTAGAAATGACCAAGATCACTACTCGCTCAACAAATCAGCTTGTATGACAATAGTAAGGAAGAAAGAGCCTTCAAACTTTTGCTACACTATAAATGGCACTACCCTGACCAGAGTACACAACCATAAATATTTAGGCGTAACAATTACGTCCTAGTTAAGGTGGGACGAGCACATTAGTAACATTACTTTATCTGCCACGTCAGTTTCACCGCAATGGCGAAGCCATGATTGCGATAGCAATAACTTGGAACTTTAACCACTAGCAGATCGAAACGTGCAGTGCTCTGCTCACGCACAAATGACGCATAGAAACAACATACACAGAACGAGAGCTAACTAACAACGCTTACAACTCAACGCTTAACGCGCTTTTTAGACAAAAACGACGTACGAAATGTATTCACAGGTACAGATGTGAGTGCGAGCTAACGAGTGTCCCCGTTGTTACTTTACTTTGTTTAAAAAGCGCACTCTTTTCGCAAACGGGGCCTGCCCAGTGAGCGAAGTTGACTTTTCTGGCCGAGACTCCGGTGAAAGACCAAGGCACATGATTCGCCCCACTGATGGATAAGCGCGAGCGCACAAGCACCTAACCCCTCCCCCTACCCCCACGAGTGGGGCAAAGTACGTGTGGTAGATAAGCGCGCGTTGGTGCATCGCGACGAACTGGGTGCCGAGCACGGGCGGCTTTTTTCTTTCTTGAGTTTTCCCATATATAGATACGTATACATATACGATGCATGACGGCAGCATTCGCAACGGTAAAAATCAGCTGAGACTGTCCATATATTTGCTATCGCAATAAATATTTTTTCGCAGATCATTTTAAATGGCAACCTTGCCAACAAAGCTCCTAGCATACAAAACATTCATCAGGCCAATCTTCGAATACGAAAGTACAGTGTGGTTTCATCACACCCGCACAAATATAAAGAAAATTGAAACAGCACAGAGAAAGGCCATACGATTCATTCACTACAAATATAAGCGTGAACACTCACCCACTAATCTTCTAACGCTTTCTGAACTGCCCAAGCTAGAAGTACGAGCGAAACAGGTACGATTACAATTTATTTATCCACTCCTGCACAATTATTTTAAAATGTATTTTTAAAAATACGTGTGTTATTCGCAAACACGAGCCGCAATATACAAACATACAAACATACACATTAGTACCATACAAATGCAACACCCATGTGTTTAAATATTCTTTTGTACGGTTGTGATTCGTGAATGAAACATGTTGGCCCCTCACATCACTAACACTGAGTCATTGTCTCAGTTTGAGTCAGAAATTGAAAAACATTTCTTAGTTTTTTTAATAGCCAATATATGAGTAATGAAACCAGTTTGTAATCAGCCTTATTGTTGAACATCCTATTTTGTATGCTCTTGTACTTTGTTTATATACTATGTTGTGTAAATATTACTTGCGTACAAAGTTCCAAGTTGATGTTACTCTTATTTTAGTATTACTGATTTTTTACTGTGATAAGCAATCGCAGCACCTGCACAGTGTGCCCACCTGCTATGGTCTCAGTAGAGACTGTCAGTATTGCAAATAAACAAATAAATATATAAATACCAATACGAACAAAACATTGTATCCATACTCGTCAAGGTATGTTGTATTGAGTATAAACTGCATAACATTTCTTGCGTTAGGTTACTTATCAACGGCCTTAGATAAACTAGCTGGTTTTGCATGTTGATTATGTATATGCGCTTTAAAGACGTGGACAGGGAAGGTACAAAACGTGCAACGCACTTAGAAAATTCCGCCTTCATCTTGTACATCATTGTTTTTTACAAAGAGACGGTCATCTACAGGCATCAACCTACCTGATCACAAGTTCTGAGGTGCTTTAAAAAGGATAGGAAGGCAACCTTGTCAATAGAACAATGATAAAGTTAACCGCAACGTGAAAATTACTGTCATTCTATACATTCATCGTATTTCACACAATCTTAAGAAAGCTGCACGTAAGGGGAGTTTGAACGCCGTGTTTTCCGCCCCGAAAAAATTATACAGGTTGTGCGAATTGACGGAGCCTTGCTCCGCTAAGCCCCTTGTCTTCGACCTTAACCATGAAATAAAATTCGTCCACTACCAAAAGGCCGTAGTTTACAACATTCCGCTTTCTTGTAGAAAGGTACACATAGTGCAAACTGGGCAGTGCCTAAACGAGCGCCTAAAAGAACACAATACTAATGTCAGTAATGGTTCTAATGTCATCTCGCAACTCACTGCTCAAGACGCTCGTGCACCCCGAAATTTGATCAGTACACCGTCATATCCCACAACCGTAATCGATCCGCGAGACTCGTAGTAGAAACCAAATCGATTTTGGAACACGCATATTCATGTGTCAGCATAGCTTCATTGTCATTATCTGAGAAAGAGCTGCAGTTTCTCAATGCTCATTGACTTGTAATGCGCATACCCTATGTCACGTGCTTCAGCGTACATATGTGACGCTCCCTAAACATGTTGAAAGTGCGTTGTGTGTGTCCTGTCTCTTCCCTATCCATGTTAACAAAGCGCACCCACATCCCCGACAAGGTTGCTTAGCTGTGAAACGACAGTGCCACATCGCTGCGGTATTCAATCGCAGGACTTCGGCTGTTATGGAGGCCACCAGGCTTCAGCCACCCAAGTTCCTGTCGCAGCTGAACAGCATCGTAGGTCTGTCTGAGGGACAGAGTGCCCACTTCGAGTGTCAGCTAGTGCCGGTCAACGACCCTGACCTTACGGTCGAGTGGTACTTCAACGGCCAACTTCTGCGCTCAGGTACGTTTCACAAAGCATTCAGCTGACAGAATCAGATTGGGATGTCACATACAATCTGTCCTTGTAATCGTGTTATAGCCATGTCGCCGAAAACGTTGAAAAGAAGCACCAGGAAAGCACCAGCAAAGCTACTTCGTAAGGTGATCTGGCCCGGGACTAGTTTAAATGACCGAAAATTGTTTTGGCGTTCAATGCTTGTTCATGCTCATGTCACCTGGTGTCATCAAGAAAATGACCTGATGGCTGAGTTATTGCATTGTTATGTTTGTTTGTTGAATCTGCAAAATGGGTTTTTGTTTCTGTGAAGTTTACATGAACTGAATTGATGATGGTTGGAATGTTAATGTTGCCCTGCTACGCGCACCGTGCTAGCTAAGCCGCTGACATATATACAGGACAGATCAACACGTAACAATGGTTGGCATGATCCTGAAATGTCAGCTGAGGCATCTCTATTTCGCAATGTCGCAATTTCCTCTTTTGTGCTTTTTTTGTCGCGATAAATTCAAGTGTTGTTGCATGATGGCCGGCGCGACTACAGCTTATATTACATGCATGAAGATTGTATAGGCTGGAGAACTGATTGGTGGGTCAACACGTATTGTGTCTGTTCCGTATTTCATTTTTTTTCTTTACACAACCGTCCATGTAAAGTGTGCTTCTCTGTGCTTACGTAATTCTTAAGAAAATCTGTAACGGGGCTCGTTTGTGTGCAGGTCACCGTTTCCGGACGTTCCATGATTTCGGTATTGTGATCCTGGATATCCTTTACTGCTACGGTGAGGACTCTGGTGAATGGGTCTGCAAGGCGACCAACAAGCTTGGCTCAGATGTGACACGTGCTACCCTTCAGTGCAAGTGTAAGTATTGCTTTGTTACGCAGTCACGCCTGAGAGCCGAGGTGCGCGGGGTTCAGAGTTTGATGAGATCCGCGTAACTTGCACTAGGTAAAGCATTTTCTAGGCTGCATTAAAGCAAGCCATTGCTGCATGAATGTGCTACGGGGAATAATTGCAAATAGGGCCTAAGGAGAGAATATTTATGTCATGACTTTAAAAACAATTACGAAGTTAGTAACGCCGCAAAACGTTTCCAGTAAATATCAAACGCGGTCTTGTGCACAGCGCTTAAGTAGGGTATTGGGTTATGTCAATAGTGTAGAGCATAATTTAGTGCTTTCGTGACCACTTGATAGTTTAGACATGCGATTATTATCGTTTGTTTATCGTTCGTTCATTTTGTTTTTTTCTTTGCTTTGCAGCCAAGAGCTCTCTGATCCTGACTCCTCAACTTCCACCTGAAATGGCATCGGGAACACAGAGCATCATTGCCCTTGAAGAAAGCTTGTACCGCACCTCGGCGGTCGTAGAGCCAGACGGTCCTGCTGAGGCACCTCGCTTCACTGTACCGCTCTCCAACGTCGAAGACCTGAGGTATTTAACTCGCTAAAGAGCCCCTACATTCTACAAGCATTTGCACTATTTCTGACTATGAACCATTATTACATCACCATTTATAGCTTGGAGGCTATTAACTCAATTCGTAGCAACGGACAAATAGTTTTTTTTTTCTAAGAGAACCACTCTACCAAGTTGCATTAACTTCGTCATTATTAAATTAAATCTCATGTTTGCAGCAAACAGACTTTTATTTGGGCCTTCAGTTCTTAAGTAAAATCGATGGGAGGTGCAATATTTTGAACAATGAAGCCATGAAGTCTACAGCTCTGTAGTCCGCATTAAATAAAACAATATCTAAATCACGTAAACTGCCAAACAATGTATCTGAAGAGTACAAAAATGATGTATCTTGCACCCCTCTTTTGAATACCACGAGTTTATGCGTACGGTTCTGGCAAATCTTTTGTAAATTTATAACGATAATCAATTAATTTGTATAACTTATTCCGCATTGTTGACGGAGCTGTATTTTACTTGTACGTATTTAATACATTTTCTAACAGGAGGTCCCCCTTCAGTCAAGTGCTCTAGGACCTCTTTCTGTGTGTTTATGTAAACATGTATGTTTTGTACGAAAGTAAAAATAAACTGAAACTGAAATATAATCATCAATTCATGTTAGTTAAAAATAATATGCTACATTTGTCAGCTTTCTTTGCTCTAACATATACAGATTACGAAAAAGAGATATCTGTTGTACGTGCAGAGGTACGGACTTGTGTGCTTCCGACTCATTCATCGTAAATGCGTTTAAAGCCAAAATCATAGTTTTGCCTTCTACAGTCACTCAAACTTTACCTTCTCTCTTAATTAAACAAAGAGTTGATGCCGATCGATACAGCAGTTGTGAAATATGAGCACTCCCAAATTTTGAACGTGTTTGAATAACCTGCATAGAAGTTGACCCTGACCCTTAAGCGTCCTCTCAAACTCGCCATATTTGCGCACTTCATTCAACACAGGGAAGGAGACAATGCTCACTTGGAAGCTCGTTTGACACCAACAGATGACCCAGACTTGACCGTGGAATGGTTCAAGAACAACATGCCGCTAATGTCAGGTGAGCATTTCGGTCATCCTTGTTGTTCCCGTATATCGCGTCTGGCTGTGCCAACAGCGAAATGAGAAAGTCTGTGGTCTCTTAAGTGGCTGCGCATCTGAAAGAAAAAACAATGCATACTTGTAAGATTATCTCGGCGTTTACTTCATACGCTATTTCGAGGCCTTTATAAGTACGTTGCGAAATAATTCCTTAGCCAGGTGTATACAGGCACTGAATTTGCATAAATGGAGGGTTGTAGATCTCTACACTTTTTATTTCTTCATTAATTTTTCGTAAGGCCACACATGTTATCCAGAAAAACGCAACCTTCAATAATACGGCTTAAGCAGGATGTAATTCAAATCTGAATTGACCCATCTAACATTCGAGCTCCATTTGGCTAAACGTGAAAGGGTTGCTTGTTGCTCCAAAAGAAGCCCGATCTTCAGCCGCACATCTGTGACACACACTAAGGTATGCTGCAGAAAGTAACGCCGTATTCGTTTTTCAACGTACTAGGAACGAGAATCCGCACCATCAACGACTTCGGCTTCGTGGTGCTCGAGATGAGTCCCGTGTATCCAGAAGACTCCGGTGTCTACTCGTGCCGAGCTCGAAACCGCTTCGGAGAGGCTGTCACCAGCTGCACTCTGAAATGCCAAGGTACGGCAGAAATTAGCTCATACCTTCGTAATGTTGCGGTAAAGTCGGCACGATTATTAAAATACAACAAATGTCTTTTTGCAGGAAAGCGCAGCGTTATTTTGGAAACACAGCTGCCAGAATCCATGACTCCCGGTATTGACAAGATTGCCAAGTTTGAGGAAGTTTCCTCCGCCAGGATTGGTGAAACTTGGACCGACAAAGACGTGTCTCAACCACCCAAGTTCATCACTACACCACAAGATCTGACTCTGGCTGAGAACTCCTTGGCTCATTTCGAGTGCAGGTACGCAAATACTTTACGAAACCCCTGCTTTATTTTCCTGCAATTGTACCATTACTGTGAGCAAAGCAAGGTACGTGTACTCGAAGAGCACAGGTTCAAACAGCAAGTAACTTCACGACTTCATGGTACGTATTACCGAAAGGAAAGCGTAATCGTGAAAATATTTGCTACGATTAAGTGCTGCAATACTCAAAAAGTGCCAGCTTTGTCAGAGAAATGGGCATCACGTTCTTGGGAAATTACGGCATCGCGGGATTTTCACAAGCATAAAGCGCACAGCAGTAAACTGCAATAGTTCGCAATTTTTCTTTTTTTTTCTGCTGCGCGAACAACAAAGGCCCACGCGCGTGCTCACGCATGCACGCACACGCATCGCGCTGACTAGAGGGTAGTCGCAGCCAAGACATCTCGTGAATTCCCGTGACAGATAACCACAGCTGAAATATATCTTCCACGAATAATGGGGTGCCAGAATGTCCACTTTGCTGTGCTAGGTTACGATATCCTAAAGCGTTGCAAGTGCATATAGCCAACAAATGTGTCGTAGTGCGTGGCTCAGTATGTATTGTCATGCTGTTAAATCTATCAGGTTCAGTCATTAGGTCAGATAGACTCCAGTACGGCACGGTAGTGGAACGCGGAGATTACCTGCTAGGTGTTCTTTAAACCCTTCTTTTCGTTGCAGGCTGACGCCAGTTGGCGACCCTACACTGAGAGTGGACTGGTACCACAATGGCAAGCCTCTTGTCACCGGTGAGTAAATAATGAGAATTGCGGAGAGGATGAGCAAATGCAACAATGTTTCCTCCACACACCTTGCTCAGGCTCTCGAGTGAAGACAATCAGTGACTTCGGCTACGTCATCCTGGAAGTGGCGGGTGTCTACCCACGAGACTCCGGTGTATACACGTGCAGAGCCGTCAACAAGGTCGGCGAGGCATCGGTGTCGTGCAAGCTCAACGTCAAGGGTACGAACATATCTGCTTTTACGTAGAGTGCAAATGGGTATCACTGCTTCTTTATATAGCGAAGCCAAAGTTATCCAAAGTACTTTGAATCCACCCACTATGACGTCTTTGAATGCCAGAAAGCTGCTTAGGGACATTAGGCACAATTAATAATTAAAGCAATGATAAAGCTGCTAAATAAAGCTAGAGATGCCATAAATTTACTCATAATTCGTTCAAATAGCAACATTAAACGTTATGTTACGCTACGTATGAAACATGCGCAATTTTACATTTCATCTCTGTAGGCAAGCAGTCCATTGTCATGGAACCACAGCTACCTCAGGAGTTCCGTTCTGGCTATGAGAGCATTCAGAAGTTGGAAGAATCTATGTACCGAACCGAAGAGAAGATCTTCGATGACGACAAGAAGGAACCACCAAAGTTTGTTACACAAATCCAGTCTCTTCTCGACAAGGTAAGGACTGTGAAAATGATATAAGTTATGCCCTAAGCACATTGGTCCTGAATTTAATATCTCACTGTTTGTGCGTGTGTTTCCATGCAAAAAGGTGGAAGGTGACAGCGCTCACTTCGAATGCAAGCTTATCCCAGTTGGAGATCCAAATATGAAGGTAGAATGGTTCCTGAACGGACGCCCACTGGTTACTGGTAAGCTGCACATTACGACCAATAATTTACTCATAAAGTGGGTTTTCTTTTTATTTTGTTGTTCAAGACTTCGCTGTTTGCCTCTAATCAATATCGTAACATTATTTGCGCAGGCACACGTGTTCATACGATCGATGACTTCGGCTTCGTGGTGCTAGACATCGACTGGTTGTTCCCTCGAGACTCTGGGGAGTACATGTGCCGCGCCACGAACCGTTGGGGGTCTGACATGACCAAGGCGACTCTCAAAATCAAAGGTAACATTAAAATATGAGCCTGTGGGACCCTGCTTGAGTGTTTTTCGTTTGTACGATTTATTAAAGCACCTGTATTTTATGCGAGCTCAATATCCCACTCTAAATACGTCATGCTGCGAAGGTTACGGAGATGTAGATGAGAACAAATCTCATATTTCAATTTTCAGCCAAGAAAGACATCATTATGGACAGCCAGCTGCCGCAGGGAATGAACGTTGACAAGCTGCGGGACTTGGAATACCCGACACCTCAAGAAGAAACGGTTCAGGAGCAGGAACCGGTTAAGCCTAGGTATTAAAAACAAACAGCGAGCCTATACATAAAAAAATCTTGCAGTATTTGAAATACGACGATCTCAACGAATAAAATCTAAAGTTTGCGAGTTACATAATGCAGGCATGACCAAAAAGAGAACAGAATACAAGTTGTATTTGTTCCCTTTCTTCTTTTTTTTGTCTAAGTGATGCCGCTTGCCGAATGCTCATTTACCAATTACCCCAGTCCACTCTTTTACAAAGAACCAGTCCAGCTACAAACTATTATGTTTTTGTCCTAGGTTCATCACTCAGATACAGCCTCAACAAAACCTCAATGAAGGTGACTCAGCTCATTTCGAGTGTCGCTTGGAGCCCATCAACGATCCGAAGTTGAGGGTGGAGTGGTACCACAACGGACAACCCTTGAGATCAGGTACTGAATATTGATATACACTACATAATGAGTGATACACATCAATATGAAAATATCTGCAGTGAATTATTTCATTCTAATTTCAAAGCTTTTCATCGATATTTGACGGGAACTTTGTTAAATCATCGATATCTGCCTTTCTTATTTTGTATTCCTTCAGGCCACCGCTTCAAGACCACACACGACTTCGGTTTTGTTGCGTTGGACGTGTTGTATGTCTACCCCGAGGACTCTGGAACATATGTCGCCCGGGCTGTAAACGACGTAGGCGAAGACCAAACCCAGGCAACTCTCAGGTGCACAGCGAAGCCAAAACTGGACTACAGGTGAGAGCGAAGCAAAGCGTGAAATAACATTAAGCAATAAATCTTAAACGCATAGTTATGAGTGGCTGAATCAAGGGTCACATTTTTGTCAATGTATTTGGACGTTTCTTTCAGAACCCAACTTCCCAAGGATATGAAGGATGGCGTCAAGAAGATCGCTGAAATGGAAGCTTCCTGGCAGCGGTGAGCATTGATTTTCTCGTTAGGATTACATCCCTCACTTCTTGGTGTGGTTAAAACTTCCTTTCCAATGTCGAAACAACCAAGAACAAGACCTGCTTCCGCAAACCTGAATATCACATGCCTTGTTTTTCGATTTCAGCACTGAAACCCAGGAAGAGGTAGAAGAGGAACCAAAGGCTCCGATGTTTATTATGAAGCCAGAACCCCAAGTGGTTGTTGAAGGTGAATGGGCTAAGTTCCAGTGCCGTGTCATAGGTCACCCCAAGCCAAGACTCATCTGGGTTTTGAACGGGCACACGGTCATTTCTGTAAGCAATTCAACAATATCCTTGACATACTCTTCTTGCTTGAGTAGCAAATGCAATTTAACCAAGCTCTATTTATCTAGGGTTCGAGATACAAGCTGACGTATGACGGTATCTACCACCTGGACATCCCAAAGAGTAGGCAGTACGACCAAGGAAAAGTAGAAGTAAGGGCTTCTGTTTCAGTAAAGCCAAGCGTGTTTTTTTTTTCTGCGTCGACTTGTTGTGGACAATAAACTTATTCTGCAGGTTTTCGCGAGAAACTTCTGTGGCGAAGCCTACTGTTTCACGACATTGGAAGTTCGGCCTAAATTTGATGACTACAGAGCCGTTCTCAAGCATTCTCCAAAGCGTGAGTACAAAACTTCCTTACCACAGAACGTTCGCACGCTTAAAGTTGGCGCAGTTTCCCTTAGAAACAGTACATTTAAAATGGCAATAAAGAACACTGCTTGATAAGCAGGTTTGACTTTGCAGCGTGGTACGACCAAGACGTCAAGTCTTACCAAAAATACCGACATGAGACTGAGCTGCAACGGGTGTTCGAGGAAAAACTCACTCCTGGAGGTACCCGTGTTGACGTATGGAAGACTGAAGAAGGCCAACAAGGTACGAAGACACACAGGTCTCGTTGATGACAGTGCCTTTACGACGGCCTAACTAGACGCGGATGTTTCTGTATTTAAGGTCAGGCTGCGTTTCAAAGAATTGCGTGTGTGATGTCACGTATGTGTTGCGTTTCAGGCGAACACCAAAAGATCAAGAAGAGAATAGAAGAGGAAGAAATTGAAAGGATGAAGCCAAAGGTGGAACGCTTCAAGACGGACTCCATTTACGTAAGCTGTTCTTTATGACATCTGCTAGCAATAGAAGAAACGGAAACAAAAAAGTATAACAATGAAACATCTACGTGTGATAAACAGACTTTTCGTTTACGTTCGCTGAACGATAAATAACAAATGAATTTGACACGTTAGCAGCCCGCTTCACCTGCCCGCGAGTGTCTGCCGTACTGCCGCTGCTTCAGCATCTGTTTTTTGCGGAACGTGTAAGTAAGAGTGCCGCTGACTCCTTGCCTTCTTCGTCATTCTGCAGTACGACGCGCGCACGGGCGAGAAAAAGGTGGAGACTGGCTCCCAGGCACAGTACATGGCCAAGTACTTCGAGACCGAAGCGGAAAAGCAGCAGCGCGGTGCCAGCGGCATCGCGCCGGAGTCGGTGGTGCAGGGCCGCGAGGTGCACACGACCACGCAGCGCCAGACACAGAAGGAGCAGCAGGGTGACCTGGAGATCACCCGCAAGAAGACGCTCACCGAGACGCTCGAGCAGGAACACAAGGGCGTCACCAAGGAGCAGCGCGTGCAGGGACCAGCGGTGAGCGCGCTTCCTTTCCTGCTCTGCACCGCGAACCCGATGTAAATACTAAAAGGGGGGAAAACGTGCGCCTTCTCTCTAAACTGCTGCTCATACATTTTTTCTTCAGCCATAATGAAACAGCCTATTGCTTCACACGGTGCGGCGTATTGTAAAACTTGGTGCACTAATCTAAAGAATTCGAGTGTTGTAATTGATCATCAACGTTGCTTTTTTTTTTTACTTTGTCTATGCTGACATGGAGTGTAGTTGGCGAATCAGTTACTGAGAACCGCTAACTGTGCAAGGCAAATTTGGCTGTTGAAAACAGGAGTATTTATGTTCCTGAAGAGTACCTATATTGGAAATTTTTTTAGGTAGTATCAACCTTCATCTCGACAAACCGTGCCTCTCTGATATTTTATCTTTATATATTCTACCTCCATCTGCCATGGAACTTCGCATGTCTTTGACGTTCTGCTGCCGTGGTCACCCTGTCGGGTTCTATTCCCAGCTCTTCGCTATCTTATTGAACTGGGAAGGAAATGCAAAAACGTTATAGAGTAGCGTGCTTTATGAGCACATTAAATGTTCACAGCTGGTCTAAAATAATCCGCAGTCATTAAACATGATATCGCGCAAACCCCACTGTGTATCCTAGGGACGTTTACTCTCACAATTTTTTTGCGTAACTTTCTCTCTGTGAGATCCCTAGCACAACAACGTGCACAATATGGTTTCATTTGTTTATTTCTGTTCATTTGGTAGCTTTCTTTTAACTCTTGCAGTACAGAATACATGACTCTCACTACCTATGCGTTATATTGTCAGTATACGCAAACCAATAAAAATCGCTACAGGGTGTGTGACGAAACGCACAACACCGAGAAACACCACTGAGAGATCAGGTTCATGATAAATAATTCGCGAGAATGTGAGCTAAAAGTGATAACGGCAAGAAGAGGCAGTTCAAATTTGGCGAACCCAGACAGGAGAAGTCTCCTAGCCGTCGAAAAACAGTTGTGATCATGGGGTCACGCGATGGCAATCTCTCGAGACGTAGCCAACCGGGACACTGCGCAAGACCTATTCGCGACAGGACGTGTTAAAAGGCTAGATAGATGAACTCCAAGGGCCGTTATAAATAGCGCGTTTGCCCATGCGAGTGAGTGGAAAGCGAAACCATTCGTTGTGTTTTCCGTCCACAGCAAGAGTCGAAGCCTCCTGTATTCACCAAGAAGCTGCAGCCATGCCGCGTTGAGGAGGGCCACGGAGCCAAGTTCCAGTGCACGTTCACCGGCCAGCCGACGCCGAAGGTCACGTGGTACCGAGAGAACTTCCCCATAACACCATCACAGGACTTCCAGGTGAGCCTGCACCACCCGCACTCCTTCTTCTGCTTTAATAGGCACTTGAACTGCAGCGACCATACATCAATCACATCTTAGGTACAACGATAACGTTTGCAATAAAATATGACGCTGCAGATTATAGGAATGATAAAATATTCATAATATTTTGTCTTTCTTTTTACAAAAAGCGAAGTCGGAGTGACCTACACGTGACTGGAAAAGAAAGAGAAAAGGGAAGTTGATCGGTGGCGGATAAACTGGGCTTTTCTTGTTAGAATAAAAATTTATGGGGGAAGGGGGAAATGCAAGCAGGAAAAAACAAATGGTGTATGTGTGTACGGAACAAGGCCATCAACGTTTCTTTTTTGCTCTGAATTCCTACAGACTACCAACATGGTTATGTGTTGCTTTGCTTCTCGTTATCGCCCCCCCCCCCCCCGAGAGAAGAAATAAAAATGCGCCCTTCATTTTTGCACGTCTTCTTTTTTCTTCCAGATCGTGACTACTGATACCACATCAACGCTCATCATTCGCGAAGTTTACGTCGAAGATTCTGGTGTCTTCTCAGTCAAGGCGGAAAACCGTGGAGGCTCAGCCAAGTCTTCGGCTAACTTGGTTGTTGAAGGTTCGTTCCTCACATATCGTTGCTTAAAACCATCGTCTTGTTTCTTACGAGCCAATGTTAGCCTGTGGTTTTTACAGTTTAAAGCAGACATTGATTACAAGGCGACTACAATCGAAAGTATTTGAGGTTGCAAAGCATGAAATCGCAAACCAAGCTGGAGCATACACTCTGAAATCTGTCAGTAGTACACAACGGGAAATGTTTTTTTTTTCTGAGAAACTACGTATCAAAAATAAAACGGAAAGAGAATGAAGTAAAATATTGCAAGCGTGGTCTTCTAATAAAGCCGGGGTGGCGAAACTCGCAGCCGAGATTAATGAAACTGTTTATCTGTGAAAGTTTCTATGCTAATCATGATGCAGCTCTTTCATTGATGGCACGGGTACTTCCACTGGCGCGCGCAAAATGCCAGATGATGAACCATGCACAAAACCCCGTAGTGCCTATAATAAAACTTCGCAAGGAGATCAATTTATGCCCCAGAAGCTGTTTGCATAACACCGCTTACTAATTTTAGCGCCGTTGCTTTGCATTTCCGCAGAGAGGCGAGAGCAACGCAGCGGAGTCGTGCCTCCAAATTTCACCAGGACTATCCAGGACGTTTCGTCCAAGGCCGGAAAGTTGGTCCGCCTCGACGCCAAGGTCTCGGGATCGAAGCCTTTGGATGTCTATTGGCTGAAGGTAAAGTGCCTCTGTAGGGTGACCTATGCTCAGATATAGCATTCGTGCATTGCCCGAGATTATTCGGATACTACTCGTATTAGGACAGGCAATCTTTTTAAAACATGCTTGAAAGCATTCGCCGCTGTGCTACTTGGTTCGTTCGTGTTAAAATATTAGCGAAGAAAAATAACAACAAATGTATATGCTATTTTTTTAATTGTTACCTTGTTAACCAAGCTTCAAGGACGTCCAATTAAAGGGGGGGTCAGCTTCATGTGATTAGGGAAACCTGACGTCGTCCACATGGTGCGTTATGCTATAAAAGATTCCGCACCATGAACGTAATAATTCAATACTTGATTCTTGCCTTGAAAATCGAATGGTACATAGCTGTGCTTGTACACTTGAATACTGCTGCTTTTTTTTTTAGATTTTAGAACAGGTTCTAGTTGCATCATCTTAGTCCACCAACGTCGCGTATTTGCGACCGAAATTACACTAGAAAGTAAAAAAAGGCCTCCCAACCTTTTATTTTTTCTTCGGTATGTTTTTGTTGTGCTAACTCAGCTGTGACGTCAAAGCACGCTATTCACGAATCCATCAGCCAGGTAATTTTGAGAAGTCATAAACACGAGGACAATAAAAGCCGGACAGTTGCGGTCGTTTAAACGAGAGCAGATTTACGACCGTCAAAATGACAGCGCTTACGAAACGAGCGTACGCACAGTTTCTGAGCCCCGGGCATTCGTGGTCTCCGCAGAATGGCAAGAAAGTAACGCCCGACGTGTCGCACAAGATCGTGGAGGAGGACGACCTGTACACTCTGCTCATTTTGGAGGCCCAGGCGGACTCGGACTCCGGAAGCTACGAGTGTGTCGCCATCAACTCGGCGGGAGAAGCGCGCTGCCAGGCTCACGTGGTGATCGAAGGTTAGTGCGCGCAGCCACAAATAGCGCCCCTTTTTACGACTGCCCTTCCGCCGCCAAGAAAAGCAGCGCTTGCCATAGGTCAGCCGTTCCGACTGGGTTTTCACCGGTGCCCCAACTTCTGCGCAGGCGCCAAGCCCAAGACGCCGCCCACGAGTCCCAAGGAGGCGCCCGGAGACCAGAAGCCACCCACAGTGACTGAACCGCTCAAGCCCCTGGCCGTCAAGGAAGGCCAGAGTGCTGTCTTCCGTTGCAGGATACCAGCCGTCCCTGGTGAGACCACACTGCATTTTTTTGTATACCTTCCATTCATCGTCGTTATTTGTAGCGTATAAGTCTGCTTGCATTTGTTTTTCACAGCATGCAGATGACTTCGAGCGACGTTCAGCAGGCTATAGATGTCCTGAAGCTTTACCTTTGTCACCGCGAGTGCCTTCAGCCTTTTTGTTAACAGTCGACCATGAGCTTTACGAGATACGAATAGAAGGAAAGAAAGAGCATTGTTCATCATTCAGATTTTTCTATCAACAAAAGTGACGCTCTACAAAAGCACACACCATAGGTCTATAGGAACACTATAATTTGGAATCTACATAAAGCGACACTCTATTTCATAAAGCGCTCTTTCAAATGCTCTAAAACACAGCACGTGTCACGACGCATTTTGTAGCATGTCAGTAATGTGCCTGCAAGATGATTCAGCGAAACGCTAGAACGTTCGCTATGCTCCTCTATTGAATAATGCCACCGAGTAAAGTGAATAAGTCCTGAAGATAATGCAATATGGTGCAGAGCAGTCTTCGGGACGAGTCCACTTTACTAGGAAAGAGGATGACCAAGTAGACGCACCACGAAAATGAGGGCATTAGAAGTTTCGTTTTAATAAAACAAATATGCGTTTGAAGACGGGTATTGTCTCACTAAGAACATTTAGTACCGTTTCTTGATGTGCTGAGTAATTCTATAGAAGCAGAGTCGGCAACCAGCCCACTTTCAGAGGTAGCTCAGGTGGGACTACACATAACTCACTGATACACATCAGTGAGAAACCATGCGCTCTCTCAACCATTGAAGCCTTATACTCACGCTCTCTCGAACCTTTGAAGCCTTACTAACAAGCTCAAACCCACACACTTTTAATTAGAAGTTCAATCATATACATGAGCAATGGTTATGTCGCTGCTAATGTAGCCAGGCAGCACGATCAGGAAACTCCGACAAGGGTTCGCAATGAATGCTTTACTTTGTAATGCTCTGTAAAATCAGCTGGCATCACGTACGAGTGTATTGCTGTTTTTTTTTTCTTTCCAGGCTGCTTAAGATATAACTTACTCGTGTTCACTGAACGGGTACCTCTGTACCTCGTTGGCGCAAAGACGATTTGGAAAGCATTCGGAGTAACTAAGTGTCGTACGATTGGTAATGGTAGACGAAGAATAAAACAGCGCTAAAGACACGAGGAGAGGAAGACACATACATGGTGTCGATGTATGTGAATTCTCTCGCCCCATCTTTAGCGCTGTTTTATTCTTCAAGTCTACCATGCAGCACTAACCAACCCAATCTAGCACACCGATAGGTACTGCCTAATCTTTTCGGGAGGAAGCTAGATTTTCTCGACAATTGGTTTGAAAACATAAACTCTTAGTTATCCTCGAAAATTGCAACAGGCGAAAAGGAACGTGGAGCAGCTAGTCAAGATTATGCAGACCGAGATGCATTATTGTTTATGCAGATGCAATACCTCGGCTTGCTCTGCATGCCGAATAATTAAATCCTAACCATCAAGAAAGTGGTTCAGCATTCGTGATTTAAAGAATAGACGCAATGACTGCGCAGAGTATAGCAGTGATTAGCGATAGTCAAAAAGCTGAACCAAGTTGCGCCTGGGTTGGCTATAGTGTGCTGGCGAAGGTGATGTAACTTCTGACCAGACTGAGTAAAGTTTATTTAGCTGTACAGTGTAACGAATTGTGCTACTCAGCTTTTCAGGAAGGGCGAATTTCATGATGTGCCACCACATAGGCCCGAAAACGAGCTTTGTACTCGACATTGTCTGAACTCTCGCCATGCTTGTCCATTGCAGGAGCGCAAGTGAAATGGTTTCGAGGCGACCAGCAAGTCAAGCAGTCCCGGTACTTCCGCATGTCCCAAGAGAACAACCTATTTACGCTCAAGATCTCTGAAGCGTTCCCCGAAGACGAAGGTGTCTACAAGTGTGTCGCCACAAATCCGGCGGGCACTGTGTCGACCAGCGCCAACCTTAAAGTTATCGGTATGGCCCATATTATTCATCTTTGGCAATATACCAACTGCCTTTGCCTGGTTAACGATCTGGAGAGCACTGTAGGCAGAAAATGACCGTTAGGGCTCATTCACACCGAAGGCGGTGCGGCAAAGCGAGTGCTTTTCGAAGCGGCGAGGCGGTGAGCGCGTGGACCTGTTCAGACTGCATGCCTTTTTCGGCTGGCCGCGCGGCAGAAGAGGCGGGCATCTCACGCTTTCGCGCACGTGTCGCTATGGCGGGGCGATGCTTCTCTCAAACGTACACCCGCGCCGCCACCGCGCTTCGGCTGCGTGTCATTCTGATTGGCTGTGGCAAAGCGGCGAGCCTCGGCAGGCGGCAAAAAATTACTGCGAGAACGATCGCCCTTGCCGCCTGGTTTTAACGCGATAGCGTTAGACAGCTCGTGTCACAGACACTTCGCCGTCGGCGTCGGCACCGTTGGTTGTGAGCGAAAGTCGTCCGTCGAAAAATTGAGAAAGAAGCAAATAAAATAAAGAATAAAATTTTCTGTCCCATTGAGGATCGAACCCAGGCCGTTCGCGCGGCAAGCAGGTGTCTACCACAAAGCCACGATGTTACAGCTGCCCCGGGAAAAAAAAACTACATAAATACCATGTCGTGGAAGGAGTCTTCTCAACGCATTTTGTTCAACAGGTGTCACGACGAAAACGAGCCCATTCGGTAATTTGTAGACCCATTTGGGATGCTATCAAACTACGTCGAAATAGGCCAGGATAGTGCAGCCATCGCCGCTAAAAACATGCAGGCACTTTCAAACAGCTTTAAAAATGGACAACTATGTCCATCTATTTCATCGAGCAAACAGCAAACGCTAGATAATGTGCTGCCATCTGTGAGGCATTGTAAGACTCTTCACAGCCTCCGACATGGCGAGCGCGCGGCGTGTATCTTGGAGGCCATGCGACTCCTGCTTTATTAAAAAACCTGTATGTACTATTCGCGCGCTGCGCGTGTGTGTGTATGGGTGCGTGTGTGACAAAACATATTAATAAGTGTGCACTTAATGGTTGAAGGGCGTACTAGGGGCCGGATTTCGCTATCGCGTTCAACTCTTAAAGGCGAAGCTTAAGGGTCCCCTGGTAAGGTGGTTCTCCCCGCTTTCCGCGTTGCCGCCTTGTCGCTTTGTCTTCCCCGCCTTCGGTGTGAACGAGGCTTTACTGTAGATTTTTCAGCCGCATGACACCTGACCCTATAAAAGTTCACTTATTGGTTGCTTTATAAGCAATATCTATCTGTCTGTTTGTCTATCTCTATCTATCTATCTATCTATCTATCTATCTATCTATCTATCTATCTATCTATCTATCTATCTATGTCTGTCTGTCTGTCTATTTATCTATCTATCTATCTATCTATCTATCTATCTATCTATCTATCTATCTATCAAAACTTTATCGCAGTCTCATAAAAGTGCGTTCCGAAAAGTATGAGCTTGTAGCTTTCCAACGAGTGCATAAATCAGTACAGGAAGGTCACTGCGGGTTAGCCACAAGCCTAAGGATGAAATGCATATCTAGGAAAGGAGGTGAAACTTGTCTAAAACTGATGAAACTGATTATGAAGTCTAAAGCTGGGCCTCTCTTCAACGCAGTGCCTGAGCTAAACGAGGTGCCGCCGACGGTCACCCCTCTGGCCGATTTGACTGTTCCCGAAGGCTCGCCTGCCCGCTTTGTCACATCCCTGGGAGGCGTGCCACCACCCAAGGTCATCTGGGTCCGCGAGGGCCATATCATCAAGCAGTCCCGCGATTTCCAGGTGAGCTTCCAGCTTAGGCCTTAAATTTCCGGATTCAAACCATTTCCCTAGTGACCGTTTTTACTGATAATATATCAGAAGTACTGACATATTATCAGTACTATGATACGGGGCTCAAACATGCATGATAACAATGAAACTCGATAAAAAGTGTAGTACCGGGCGGTGTGCAATGCAACGAGAAACGATAGGTGTATTATTAAGGAAACAGAGTACAGGGAAATGGGTCGAAAAATAAACGGTGTGGTCGATATAATGCATTCAAAAAAAAAAAAAAACTGGCCGGTCACGTTACGCGAAGGACTGGCCAGTTCGTTGGCCAGCTCGAGCGACGACGGAAAGGATACCAATGGCTGGGAAACACAGCCGAGCACGGAGAAAGTGAGTGGGGCGGCGAAACTAGGGGTTCACAAGCATAAAACAAAATCAGTTCCTTTTTTTTTTTCTCTCTTTTTTTTCCAATTCTCTCTTTCTTGCCCCTGTTTCTCCTTCCCCAGCACTGTGTAGCAAAATGGATGTCAATATCTGGTTAACCTCCCGGACTTCCTCTTCTCTCTCTCGGTTTTAAGGCAGGGCAGGGTAAATTTGACATCAGTGGGAGAGGCCTCCGTCCTGGCGAGGACGATGATGATAATAATGACTCAGAGTGGACGCCGCAATCAACGAAGGGAATCGATCTTCAGCGCTGTCGTGTGCAGATAACATTTCAAAGGTTAATGTTTCAATATACAATCGGTCTAAAGGTGTTTTGATTGTGGCGTAGCTGCATATGTAACGCTAAAAGAAGTTCCAGAAGGTTCGTTCAACTATAGCTGCGCAAGGTATACCATGTGAGCATTCCCGATTTATTTGTGCATGCCCGAGAAGCTAACCTAGAATGCTGTTTAGTCGCGTGCAGGTTGTGCATGATGAACTCGCACGGCGCTGTTTTTGATTACCATTAGTTAAACGACCGATGCCCGGCGTCTTTACCTTCAGCGTAAGGTTGCGATATTTGAGCGAGGGTCGTTTCGAAGTTTCGTTGATGCGAAGTTGGCAGCCGCCCAAGGTCAAGAGCTTACGTGCCTCCCCTGTTTCGTTGCAGATGAACCAAGACCAAGGCTCGGCGTCTCTGGTCATCAGGCACACGTATCCCGAAGACGAAGGCGTCTACGTTTGTCGTGCCACCAACGCCTCGGGCCAAGCCGAGACCTCTGCCCGGCTTACCGTGCAACGTAAGGCCAAAAAGTAGAGGTCGCGCCCTGGCCTACTTGCTCGCTTAAAGCGCTCCGTTATTTCGGAAAGCTGTGCATTCAAGCTGCTAAAACCGAGAGAGATAACAGCAAAAGAGAAAGTTTGGCTCCTCACTTTCGCGTTCCCTAACTTAATATTAGCATTTTGCCCCTATGCGTCGTAATGTTGACGCGAATGCATTATTGATGAGATATTTATTCATTTCTCAAGTTATTTTTTATACTTTTGGTTGCTTATCATTTACTTTCTCCCTAACTTCGAGAGTCCCGAATTTCTAACCGGAATCTGTTCACGCATCATTCGCTTCCGGTTGTTCGCTACTTATTTTGGTTCAGCGTGTTTCGTAAACTGAAAGAAGAAATAACATTTCATAAGCATAGGGAACGTTCCGTTTCTCCCTTTTTATACAGCGAAGTCGTTACGTTCACACCTAACAAGTTTATTCGTTCGGTTAACAGGATTCTGCCTAACAGAAGGGTGAAGGTTTGTACATTACTGACATTTCTACTATATGTACTCGCGACAAAGGTTCTTTTATTTCTTCTCTCTTTCCTGCAACTACTGTTGCAGCATTGCACATTTGAGGTCCGATTATTCTTAACAGAAAGGACACGCAGTCATTACCGCAGTACCGCTACTAGATGTGCATTGGTGAGGAGCCTTACAATTTGTTCTACATATGGGGCTATTAACACTTTCGCTTAGTGCGTCCATTCGAAACCGATTGGCTACCATCGCGTGGTTCGACGATTGACGTAAGCCGCGAGATAATCGGCACCGACGGACTGTCACGAGACCATTAGGTAGTTTAGGCGATATTAACATGATTAACCAATCGGCGAGAACGAGGCTTTACACTGCCAGCCACGTGGAGATGTGATAGCTGCTTCTTACGACTCTCTCGGTCGCTGTTCTTTTACGTTTTGTTCTGTTCTTCGCGAATCGCCACACTAGTCACGGTCAGCAGTCACGGCAGCGGTGGACGCCGTTGCGCACCCCAACTGTACGCGCAACTCGGCAGTAGGCTATAGACCAGCGGCAGGCTCATGCGCTCCGTCCTAGACAACCATGTGGCCGATACCTGTAGCGATTGCTTGTGGAAGAGAAAATTTCAATAAAACCAAGTTATGCAAACATGGTGTGTCTGATTTAGGCTTGCTCTCTCAGACTCACACTTTGTCGGAACTTCGACATTTGCATGCTTTTTTTCTCTTTTAATTCTGATAATTTTTTGCTCTCGACTAATTTCGATTCTGGCGTTGATTTGCAACTCAATAACCTCTTAATCAAACTCAATCGCAAAATCTTTTACTTTTACTTTTTTTTATTTCTTCGAAGCATGCAAAGACCGAAAGAACATAAAAGCATTGGCGGCCTAAAAGTGTGAGGGAGATAGGCCTACATCTGACACAGATGTGCTGCTCTCACAGCTCAGCGAAAAAGGAAAAAAAATGAAAAAAATGCCCTGTGCCCGATAATGTCGCACTCCTCCCTGTTAGCTGCTCAATTTGGTCAGGAGGTCTCTCCTCCACAACCGATGAAGGCCGTCCGTCCCTGAGCGTTGCACGCTTTTAGGCCCCCACCCAGCCGCGCCTCGTTTCTGCTCGGCAGTCGCTGCAAAAGCACAAACCCTGCATGGCTGGCGCTCGCCGCTGCGCTGCGGCTCAAAACGCAACAACGCGAGAAGAGGAGCAGGACGGGGCAGAAACGGGGCGTGGCCACATGCCTCGGGCGCCGTCTCCGAAAACAACGAAGCACCATACAAGCGAATCCTCCTCCTACGAAGGATCACGTAAGCACAAGAGGCTTAGAACAAACAAAATCCGCTTTACACAAACATAGGCGAATACTGGTGATTGGGCAGGAACGTACATAAGCGATGGGGAGGCATATGCGCATTTCCCTTTTTTTTTTTTTTTGTCCCGTCCACCTTTTAGACTTATAAACTAGTTGCGCACTGCGGAGAAGAAAATACATGCGCTGTACAGGTGTTATATGTTATTCGTTCTTTTGGAGCTATCAATACAAGTATTCATAGCGAATATTGAAGGTAAATACAGCGATGAGTCTGTTATGGCTGAAGGATAACGCGGCTAATGCGTTGAGAGTCTGACCTCTGCTACCGCGTCTGACAGCCATAACCGAGCACATCGTAATGTACGATATAATCTGACACAAAGGTATTTTAACCTGTATGGCGCGTCCAGGTATATTGTGTGTTCTGTGGTTGTGGTTTTCTCAACACGAGAGGATGAGTTGCTTCGAGTGGCTTTTTGACTGACGCCGCTTCCAGGGTGATAGTGGCCTTGATAAAAGGCAACGAAAAAGTGAAGCGAGACTATGTACTGTCTTAATTACAGCTTTAGTATGCGCAGTAACTAATATAGACGAGGACAGAGCAAATGAAATGTGACAAACCAGCTCACGGCTGGGCCACCGAGAAGTGCAACCAAGATGTAACTTCAGCACCGATTACTTCGAGGCGAGTGCCGTCAATATACAGCGTATATAATTCAATATGCACTCCCGTCAACGTGCCGAATTCACCACCTGAATACACGAGATCCGTCCATCACGATCAAGGAGCAGAAAAACCACCTTGCTCTACGCATATCTCTGTCACCTCGTCTAACACGAGTATGACGTATTGATCATGTCGGAAGAATATCGCTACACTAATGAAACGGCTGGTGATTATGACCCCATTATAATAATGAAGAACATCGCACTGTTTGTAGGCAATATTCATTGACAGAACACCTTAAACTTTTGGGTGTGGAGGACGAATAAGACCAGTGGGCCCGTTTAGAGTTTGAACAAAATATTGCGACATGGCGGCAAGACGACAGAATATACAGCTATGCATGTGTCGATGCGAAACCGAGGAGTGCTTCAAACAGTAACAGACGTACTACTTACCGATAGTACACCGAATCTGGCGCCATACTGGCGAAGCGATGGGGAAAAAATGAAAAAAAAACGCACATTTTCGCCCTTGGCCCACAAAAGGAAGTAGAAATCACTAACCATAGGTGTGCGTAGGGTTCCCCTTCAGGGGGGGGGGGGGGGGACCAAGGACTAAGTTCAATCACAACGCCCCCCTCCCTATTATGTCAATGTATGGGGTTGACTTTGCGCCCCCCTCTCTGCTCTCCCCCACCACGTGGAAACCTATATGTCTATAAAGCTCCATTGTGAAAGAAACAAAAAAGGGCTGCCTATTGAATCAGGCTGTGATGAAACATATCACTTTTTACGAAGGTGATCATTTTCTGGCTAGCTTGTAGCTGATCACCGGGGGGCTTTCAAGCGGTAACTAATAAATTTTGTAGACTAAAATATGTAGAAATGAACAGCTGACTCAAGCACACAATCACAACACGTAGAAGCTAACGATTGCATTTGCTGTGACCGCTTGCAGAAGTTATTCTGTTCTGGAAGACAAGCGGTGACATCTGATAATAGCTCAGTACCATTATACATATGTGTATAGCAGTCTGCCCTTTCTGACGGTGCAAACTGCCAACGTCACCGCGAGGAACCATTGAGTCTAATATGAGGTCGTCCTACTGCTCCAAAAGCCAACGAAATAGGATACCGCATTAGAGGCAGTGCCTGTCTTTTAATTAGCAGTTATAAACTTTCAACGTATAATTTTCATGCACTCCAACCATCTTCGACGCATACGCTTAAACTAACGATCTCGTAAAAGTATCTGATCAGTTCGCAAAACAGGTGCGCGCCACTCGTCAGTTCTTAGGAAACACGAAAGTAGGAGCCCGACCACTCGAAATCAGCAAATCTCTGACATTGCGGACAAACTAACAATGTCAAGTATGAGCGAGACAGGAAGAAGTTAGGGGAGAATAAACGGGGAAGGAGGGTCATCAAAGGCACTAAGCCGGCCTAAGCTCGCAAAGTCAGAGGTTCGAAACCGTGCCGAGTGTTTTTTTTTATATATATAGACTTCCAGACAGTTGTGAAAAGGCGAGCTACGTGTCAGGTGAGCTACGTGTCGGGTGACGTTGAGAGTTGATGGGCAGTCAGGTGGTAGTCTGCAGGTGCTAATAAAATGCAAGAGAACCATCTACTTAAAAATAGCGCAGCAGCCTAACATGAAATGACAGAATTCGGTTCGAATGCAGATGCCGGACAATTCCGAATTGTATATTTACTTAAAACGCGTGATGAAGGAATTGTTTAAAGAAAACAAGAGGTATGGGGTGCGGCTTCACTGGCGACCCCCTGCCAGTAATGCTTTTCCTCACCAGAGCAGGATTGGCCACACTGGTGTAGTACTTAGCCACTACCTCCCATGACTACAGTAATTAACCCTTGGTCCTCAGTCTCCAGCGGCTGCGAAGCAACTGTCCAAGCGGCGGTCAGACCTGCGACGCAGCGGAGGGTGCTAAGAATTTCTGGGTTCAGACAGGCCGCCATTGGAATCTGAACTTGGCTACCTTCAACGCTAGAACGCTGTCTAGTGAAGCTAGTCTAGCTGTCTCATTCGAGGAATTAGAGGGTGTTCAATGAGACGTAATAGGGCTCAGCCAAGTTAGGAGGACACGTGAAGCTTATACAGTGCAGAAGAACGGACACCTCCTATGCTACCGTGAATTAGTTGACAGAAAAGAACTAGGGGTGGGGTTTCCTATACCCATAGGTATCGCTGGCTACATAGAGGATCACCATACCATCAGTGAGCGGGCAGCAAGTATCATAATTAAGTTTAACAAAAGGTACAAGATGAAGGTGGTACAGGCCTACGCGCCTACATCGAGCCATGATGATAATTTGGTTGAACGCTTTTATGAAGACGTAGAGTCAGCCATCAACCAAGTCACAGCACACTATTCTGATGGGTGACTTGAATGCCAAATAGGCAAGAAACAGGCCGGATACCATGCAGTGGGGGAATATGGCATCGGCGCTAGAAATGCCAGAGGGGAGTTATTAGTAGAGTTCGCAAAACGTAATCATTTATGGATTTTGAATG